GATTAAAAATGGTAAGTTATAAAGAAACAAAAGAAGAGAAAAAGAAATACAGATCAGAAACGGATAGATCTATTATTAATTTCTATAATTGTTTGATTATATTATTCTACTATACAGTAGAATATGTAAGATAAATTTATATGATCATAACCTTGTTGAACTAGTTAATTTTAATAATTAAATTTGAAAAAAATGGGACTCCTCAGCAGTGCGCATCCACGATGCCGCAACCCGCGAGATTCGAATCCATAGCCTATCGGTCTCGTGCCAGGCGCTTAACCAACTAGGCCACTGAGTCGGCATCTATACTAGGACGAAACGGCCGTCCAGTGATTCCAGATTTTTCATGGTCGTCTAGCCTCAATTGAATGATGATTTCAATCTGTTGAGATTAAGATGGTGGTTGGAGGTAGTCAACAGGAAACCCTGTACCCGGGTTTCGTGCTACTTGGCACTCGTCAGAAAGGTGTACCTGTAATCTTGAGGGAACTGGTGCTCCCTGGCAGATTCGATCTCGTGTCACCCAGCTTCACAGTCAGAGACGTTACCACTGAGCTATCCGAGCCGTGACTAACCTCCTGTAGGACTGAGATGTAATCACAATTGATTGATCACTGGGTGGTGATCAATGTCATGCTTGTCTAGTCCTTATTAGTGCAGATCGAATGCTAATAAGGACTAGACAAGCATGACATTGATCACCACCCAGTGATCAATCAATTGTGATTTCAATCTGTGAAATTTCTAAAATCTCCACAAATTCCTTCTAAAATAAAATGATTGAACAATACAAAGAAAATTTCTTTAAAGATCAACTTTGAATAGTCAATTGAATATTAAATATTATTATCCAATAACTAGTAAACTTTATAATATATATTTATTGCTGATACACCTTTCAAATTGTCTTCTATATTAGAATAAGTTAATAGAAATACTTATTAAGTAAGATAATAATAATAAGTAATGATAAGTAACTTGATAAAATGCATATAATACTTTCAAAAGAATCTGAAATAAAAAATAAGTTAGACATTAACACCGTTGGATGCCGGCTCAGTGGTCTAGTTGGTTAAGCGCCTGTCGCGAGACTCATAGGTCCTGTGTTCGAGTCCCGTGAGGTGGGGTCGTGGATGCGCATTGCTGAGGAGTCCCACAATAGGACGAAAAGACTGTCCAGTGCTTACAAGTTTTCCATGGTGGTCTAGCTTTAATTGACTCATGATCTCAACTACGATCTCCACAAAACCCCTTCTGATACTAAAAAATAAATGTTGAGTTTTGTTAATAGACAGATTTATATTGATAGTTGAATCCGTAAATCGATGTAAGTTAGACCATCATTGAAAAACTTGGAAACACTGAATGACCGTTTCATTCTAGTGTGGAACTTTTCATCAATGCGTATACACGGTCTCATGCGGGACTTGAACCCAAGACATTTAATCTCACATGTGAACGGTTCACCTCTAAACCATTGAGCCGGTCGACATTTAATGGTGTCAATGTCTAATTTTAATAGATTGGTGATCTTGCACAACTCTTCGTCCATTGTCTGAGGTGGGTAACCGTCTACACCCGACGAGAATCGGGCTACACTGATTATGGCTTCTCACTAGAACTCCAGGAAATCCATCCTGAAGCCAATTTATATTGATTCTATATTTTTTAGATCTAACTGAAGTGACCTTATTGAGAACTTGAATCAGTTGCATAATTCTGTAGTCAAAAAACCCTGCAACTTTGAAACTTCATCCCTCTTCCAATGATTCATTTTTGCTTAGTTCTGTTTCATTTTATTTAAAATTGTTCGGTTTATCCGGTTGTTGATATTTTTGATTGAGATTTGATCAGTTTTAGTTAGTATATGATCATCCTATGTGAGTTGTCTCTATAGACTTTATGACACAAGTTGATATAAAATCGATGGGTCCGAGTTCCGGAGTGAGTATCAACTCTGGGATGTACGTACAACCAGATGACGATATCCTCGATTCTACTGCTAGCTACTAACCATCCTTACCTAAAAATATCCCTTCAGTTAATTCGTAATCAATGAAAACAATTCGATAAAAATTAAATTCTAAAACTAAATGTTTATTTATTTAAAACAGTTTTCGCGATGATTATTTGGTTTAATCATGACATAGAAAACTTATTATAAATAAATGTTGGGTCGTGTCTAGTGATGGGATATAAGAATGACATTTCTTTTTATTTAGGATCCGTCAGCTGGATATCCCTTCATCTGAATGTTTTTGTTCACAATCAGAATCGAATCCAGTATCTGACTGCTTTAAATGTCAACGCATTATTCCGTAAAAGTACCAACGAAATGAAACTATGGACCCTCACAAATATTTCCCAGACTTTTCTAATTAAGTGAGTAGCTAGAGTGAAAGTTGTTGGGATATTCAGAAAAGTATCCCAAAAATTATCCTGCTAAATCTAGTGCTATCCTTGAACTTGGAATGATGCCATCAATTTTTATTTAACGTGTCATTTTCCCGTTGGCCAAATATTGCACAAATGTTATTTTCTATTTTATGGTACTTTGTGGTCTGTCTGGTTGATATATAAACCGAGTATGTTTGAAATAAATGATTCATATCGCAGAGGCTGAGACTTGTGTTCTGGACTTATTTGGCTGGGCTAGGCGGAAAGCAGGGCCAATCAGAACTCTAGACTGCTTGCACGTGTTTACGCGTCTTTGATCCGATCGATAAGTCACTGCTCTTTAATCGGTGGTCACAAATTATAACAAAAGTTTACTTTCTTTGTGATATAACCGGAAACAAAACATATTAAGCGACAGTAGAATTAGTTTATATCATGACTTACTGAAGAAAGTTAACAGTGAACTCTTGACTTTATTGGTGAAGTTTATCTCAGAGAACAAAAACCTGTTGGGATAAAGTTCTTTATGACTGAATACAATCACATACCAGTAACGAATACAATCTATCTATGATATCGAATCATCTGCATGGTAGACAGGTAACAAGGGGTAAGAAAAAAAACTTAAAATTCCGTTTGATTGCTCATTCTCTGATGAATCCGTTGGTGTATTTTACTTAACTATTAATCAAGCATATTTCACAGAAATTTTAGTTTTATATGGAATCTCTCTCCCAATTCATAAACTATTGTGATGTATGTTACAATTTAACTAAGAGTATGTTACTCAGGTTTTCGTCTAATTTACGTATACATTGTGATGGCTTCTGTACTAGTTTTCTACACGATTTATTAGTCCCAATAATAAAAGTACTCATTTCCACTCATTCAGTCTATTATGTTTAAATGAATCTGATGAGGGATTTATTGTTAGTTCGACAGAATCTCATCAACATTGAGATTTTACAATATAGCACTTAATTACTATCAAAAAATTAACTCTTCAAGTATTCAATACAAAGCTACTAGGTCTTCCTAAGGTATCATAAATCATTCATGACATTGAACAATGTTAATAATCCTGCCTTTACAATAAAAACTGGAATAAATGGCTAGAAAATATTGAGGTAAGAATACATGTTTTACAACTGATGGTTAGTTATAAACGATGAGATTGCATGATATTAATTTATTTCACTTTTGAGTAATACAACACATTAAAGATAAAGACATATTGCTGGTATATCCATACATCACGCGATAAACCAGATGTCATGAATCTGCTATCATGGCTGACTGTAAAGTTACCGAATTATTGCAGTAATTATGATTAGAACAAGCAAACAAATAGCTTATGTACCAATCTATCTATGCTGAGTAATCGAAAATCCACATTGAATACCAAATTTTTGGTAGAGTTTAAAAAACCAAATTACTATAAGAATGAGGAAAATAAGAAAGTCACGCCACCAGTGAAGACTTATTAGTTGTATGCAATAATATAATAATGGTCTGAAGAGGTTACGAACTGCATCGATGAGACCGATTATCTTTAACAATATGTATGCAATTAATCAACTATGGACCGTTACAGAAAGGTACGTGTAGAATGATTGAAAATACATATTGCATGGAAAAATGAGAGATGACGTTAGTTGTTAACTGTGACTGCCAACCTTTGGTTGCTATTAAGATTCATATAGTAACATGTGCAGATGTTTATTTGTTGACTCATGTTGTCATGAGCTTTGAATAATCCTACTGGGTTATTAATTCTGTTTATTGGACAAACTAACGTAGTACAATTCTACAAGGTTACTACAGTTTATAATGTGATTAATTTAACTCAACAACCGATCAAAGAATTATGTCCTAGCTATTAAGTTACACTTTTCGTATGAGGGCTAGTGATACTAACCCGATTCTGAAATTGAAGAAAGGTTTAAACCGGAGGATTAACAATTGAAAGTCGATCGCTTTAACCATTAAGTAACTGTTCCATAAAGAAATACAATTTTTAGTTTTACGTAGAACATATTGTTCATGAAATACAAAGCTTATACAGTAAAAAGACTGAAATAACGAATTCGTAAACACGTGCGTTGTATCCGTTGTTTAGCATTCATCAAAGAAAAAGATAACTGTCGCCAAGACAATCAGCGTGCCTACGTTATAATGTCTTTAGTATCTAAACGCTCAGTTTCCTGATGAAATTTCTTCATATTTGGTTTTCTCAAAAACAGTAATCGGTATATTTAATATATATAAGCATAGATTATACTAATCAAATTACAGGTTTCTAGAAGTTATTACAAATTCAAATAACTTATACACCATAATAGTGAGATGTTTAAGTTAAGAGAAAAATTAAAATATTGGTTCTTTTCAAGAAACCAAAACAGGTCAGAATTAACTCTAAATCAGTAGACTGAATTGTCCATTTTAAACTTTTAGTTCGAGGAAAAATGAAGAAAGGTGAGAAAATCGGTATCTGTGCATTATGTATATGTAAAGCTTTTATATTATAGTTCACTTAGTAAATTGCAAATCAGAACAGATATAAAATATGAATATTACAGTTAGATTGTAAGCTGAACTTAGCTATATATATATATATATATATATATATATATATATATATATATGGGGACTTTGTTTAATTGGCAAACTGCAAAAAATTGTTCACAACCTCTATAAATCGGGATAAAAATTGCAAATGAAAAGTAAATAGACTACTAATAACTGACAAACACACATTCTTTTGACCGATAAACGTACAAAACGAAAATGAAAAAAGAATTAAACAAAGAAAAACAGATCGAAAAGGGAGAAAACAAAAAGCAAATCAAAGATTATTAGAAAATATAATTGAATAATAAGTAAAGAAAACAATAAGACAAGTAGTTCAATTGTTCAGACAATAAAAGCATCATCATCAACATCAACATCATATACACATGCGTCTATTTGTTTTACAAATAAATAAACTTAAAAGTACGTATAACTCAATGACTTGATTTTTTTTTGGACAACTCGTAGTTGGTGCCACATACAACATGCAATTCATAGAACAAAATGAAAATGCATTTATGTTAGAAATGAATCATCCACATTTGAACACCGGTAGAAAAATGAAAATCAAAATGAGTTACAAAATTGAAAAGCAGTGAAAACAATCATAAAGACAGCCAAAAATAAATCATAGAAATCTGAGATAACTGATCTTATGTTTTTATGGTTTCAATGTTCTTTTTCCGATTTTGTTGTTGTTTTGTTTATCTTAACATGAAATTAACGATAATCAAGGTGTAGAAGAAAGAAAACATAACTGTACACTTGTTTCGACTGAGCATCGCGGCGTAGATTTACCAGTTACTGTATCAGTAAATCATAAGGAAAGTAAGATTTAACAAATATACTCAGATTTGGTCACGTTTTAATTCTAGATCATCATGGTAAGATGAAACTATGGAGAGAAATATGAAGAGTACACCAAAGTAGTAGGAGTATTCACAGAATCGATAGCAACAAAAAATATATAAAGCAAGGAGAAAATGAGTCCAAGAGATAGAATAGATATGTGGAATAAAGTTTGGAATAATTTCGCAGTTGTTCTTTTAAAAAAAAAACAAGAATGTGTCTATGAGTGATTGATTCTGAACCATTTGTAACCTTATACGGGAAAAAGGAAGACGAGGGGGGAAGAAAAGTTTACACTAAATGCATATTAATGGTATACGAGTGAAGAGAAGAACCGAGAATGGAAAAACACACTATCTTAGTTGAAATTCCTTGTTAATGAAAAGAAGGCAATGAATAATGCTTTAGAATGATAATGACAGTAAACAAAGAATTTAATTCACACGAACAGACATAAACTACATAGCTGAGATGAGATTACACTCTTAGTATGCATTATATGTATAAAGTCAGTAAACAATAAGTAATATTGGATTCTGTACAAAGGTACATCAACCAAAGTTTCCAAATAGTACACAGTAAAAGAGGGAATCGATAAGAAGAACAGAAAATTTATAATAGTAGTATCAGTGACAGTAAGGAATAGATTATAACTAGAGTGCATGATTCGAGAAGGAATGAATTTGTAGCATAAAAATAAGAAGCAATAATCAAACTATACAGCATATTGTCATGTATCAGGTGATCTGTTAATGTGATCGGATAATGTATTGCATAATGTTGTAGTAGTAGTAATAGTACTGGTATTATTGAAAGCATTTCTTCTTGGTGGTAATGGTGGTGCTGTTTCAACAATACTACACTCAGTGGTGGTGGTAGTAGTAGTAGTATCTGGAGTGAATGTGACTGATTGAAAAAAATTCGAATGATTAGGAGAAGACTCATCGGGAGATCGACTGTAGGTGACAGGAGCAGTTGTTGTTGTTGCTGCAGTCGAACGAATAGAGCAGTTTAATTTTGGAGGTAGAGGAGGTGGCGGTGGTGGTAAACACTTACAATTTTCCATAGTTGAAAAGAAAGCACAGGAAGTATTCGATGAATGAAGAGAAGATGGTGGAGTAGGTATTCTGTGCAGAGTTGTACCAGTGGAATTTGGGGCTTTCGAATGTTTCCAACAATTACAACTTTGACGGCTTTGTCTAGGCGGTAATGGTGGAGGTGGTGGTTGATGCGAGCAACCAACACATGAAGAAGGATAAGGAGTTGATGGCGGTGACAACCCAGCAGTAGCAGAGTAAGTGGTTACTCCAATCACTGAATTTGCTGCTTGATGACAGGGAGAAATTATCGGAGAAATGACATGACTGTCAGACATACTGTGTTGATGTTTAGCGCCTGAGAAAAAGAAGTAAAAAGCAACAATATAACTTTTTGAACAATAGAATATCGTAAAGTCTAGGACAAACGCAAGCTGATCAAGGTTGCCACAACACAGTAGCATGACGAGACGAAATCAATAAGATGAACAACAAACTAAGAAAAAAAGAAATAATGTAGTATAGAAACATGACTTCAATACGAACGTCAAGACAGTTCTATTGTTTGGAGCCGAAACAAGAACTACAACCATCATCAAAATGTACAAGTACTTATGAACAATTGTCTACTCAAGATACTCAGTGTTCATTAACCGGATATCATCAGCAACAACCTACTGTGGGAGATAACAAACCAGATTCCAGTTGAAGAGGAAATCAGGAAATGTTGGAGGTGGATAGGACATACATTCCGAAAATTATCTATGTGCATTAAAAGGTAAACCCTAACTTATAATCCTGAAAAGAAATTGAAAACAGGAGGACCAAGAAACACACTGAGTCGGGAATTTGAAGCAGACACCAAAAGGATGAGTAGCGACCGGAAAGGACTGTCCATGACAGAGTTCAATGGAGAATGCTGGTGGGTGGTCTATGCTCCTTCACAAGGGGCAACAGGCATATGTAAGCAATATTATGAGAAAAACTAAGCACTAAAAATATAATATAAAAATGACAATCAAGACGTATGTGTATAACGGGATACTGAGAGTTAGATCTACAGGAAGATAAACAATAGAGGCATCTGCTCAACTAGGACTGATTATGAAATGCATCATTCAAGGTTTTCAACTATTATTACTATTGAAAACCAAATAAAATATTCTATCCAGTAAAGTAGACGCAAAATGTGTTTTACATATATATTTAAACAAATAACATTTTATCAATACTAAACAATCATTAATATTCGCTATCAACACTTCTAAGACAAAACTCATGATCTTTTACCCTTTTTATACAGATCGACTTCATCAATTGAGAATTGAAATGTGACATATATGACAATGTTTTCTTAATGAAACTGCTTAACTCAAATGTGTATTAGTTATAATCATAAATAAACAATTGAGATAATGATTCATGGAAAAATTCATAGATTAGCATATTGTGTAACATATAATATTTATTTTTAATCAGTAGCATGCTATATACTCAAGAATGATTAGAGACTAGTTCTTTTATAACAGTATAAGACCGGGAAGTTTAGATCTCAAAGAAAAACGAACACAAGAGTTTCTCAACTGAACCTTAGTTAAGTACTTATCTACTATAATATATTAAATGCATTCATTATTAATCTATTTAAGTGTTATTAGATAGTAAATGTCAAGTCGTAAGTGAAAATAGTAAACCTGTCGATGGGTTTGTGAATGCATCATTGATTGAGAATCCTAGGGGTTATGCAATATCTGTTTAACTTCTGTTTATATTGACGTGCTACAGTGACACTTGTAGATAGGTTGAGAAAATACAGTATTACACAGATCCCCTTTGCTTATTAGTGACTATTAGGGGGGGGGGAACGCATGTAAATAATCACGGCGTATTTAATCAATAATAAATTATGTTTACTGAAAACTTGAATCAATCTTTTGATGTACGCATCAAATTGTATACCAGTACACGTATAAAGAGTAAAAAGCTTGAAAAATATTCATACACTACTACCATTTACAGAGTATGAAGCGTGTGAGAAAAACAAAATTTGAACTAATTCATTAAACGTTTGTTCTGGTTTTTTGAATAAATTTAGAAATATAGCTCGTGACAGTCATTCGAGAAAGATTTATGCATGCACGGTATCTCTCTCTACTAAGAAATTATTTTGTTGTTAAGAAAAAGTTCGCTTTATCTTTATTTCATTGGTTAACTTTTACAACTAATCATAATAAAATACTACAACATGCCAACACAACTGTTCATCATCATCTAGGTAGGTTTGATTATTGTCAGCAATTTTAAGACATAACAATTTAGTAATTATAATACATAATTATAGGTATACAAATATAAGTTAATGGATATTATAAATAATACACATACCTGATACAGTTGTATTGGATGTATGTGAAGATAGAGAAAATGCATTGGGAATACGTAAATATTTACGTTCTTGTATCTCACTATGAGAATGTTTACTACTGTTACTACCATTATTAATAATAGTTACACTGATTTGTGATGATGGTGACGATGACGAAGGATGATGACTAGATTTCTTTGATGAATTTTTATGTTCATTTGTACTATCGGTAGCAACACTGGTAGTGAATGGTGTAGATGACGATGATGATAACAATAATAGTGGTGATTTATTAGCACTACTATTATTGGCATTAGCAGTAATATTAGGTGAATTTAGCAAATTATTAAACTGAAGTACAGACGGTACTGATATACGTTCTTTTAATGGAGCATTACTGAGTAATTGTGCAGCTTGTATTTCTTCTTTAGTCATATGACGTTCCTATGAAACACGACATAATAATAGTAATGATAACAATAATAATAAATAAATAAGTTAATTATAAGTATGAACTTAGAAACATCCAGCTAAAAAGATTGCAGAAAAGTAAAACAAACAATATTCAGGAAAAAAAGGTACTGTATCACGGAGGAACATCCTTGCTAATAATGTTTATAAAAGATTAACAATACAACTTCATAAAAGCTTGAATAAGCTCCAACTCACTTATTTACTGATTTTACAACACTGGTATTTTATTGTCAACATCCCGACGAGAATGGATGGTAACTGTTGGGATCCATTTATGGACTAATATTATACATATATACTTGTTGTATAACTATTCAGTAACTAGATTATATATATATATATATATATATATATATATATATATATATTCGTCTTATAAGTTTTATTTTGACCTATAGACTATTATGATACGATTTACTATTCTTAAATTATACTCAGTTCACTAATTACAGTCTCTCACGTTTACAGCCAGCGTTTGGCTTGAAATTGTACAAAAGTTATCTACTATTTTATAGCGTGATGTGGTTCGTTTGGCTTGAACATAAACCAGGTATGTTTGAAATAAATGGTTCACGCAGTGGAAGCTGGTAGTGGTGTTCTGGACTCAGTTGAAAGGGCTAGGATGATAAAGGACCAATAAGGACGCTAGACTCCTCATACCAACCCATACGTCATTGATTTGGCTCAGTGCTAAGATTGTTTAAGTCGTATCCCGATTGGCGAATAAGTCACGTGATAATTAGCCGGGTTAAAGACATAACATCTATAACTGAGAAATTGGAAATGAAATTACGATCGTTTTCGGAATGAAATCCAGCATGCATATATATACCAACTCTGGGATGAAGGTTCATACAGTTGACGAGTTCCAAGTAGGATGAAACATGAGTACTGTATTCCAATGCTAATCACGTTTTATCTGTTCTGTATTATTCATTTCGTTAGAGAAAGAAATCTAAAAACACCAATCGAAAAAATTTACGCTGCAATGACGGCTAAGTGATTGGAAAAGGCGGTTATAAAATTAATGGGTCAAAAACATTGAACTTAGACCCCACCGAATTGTACTATTTGAGTTGATTATCTAAAGGGTGGAAAATTCAAAGTGTAGCACAGAAATCTGTACATGATAAAAATGCTTTACATTTACAAGATTTGTCATCAAATGGGAAGACGGGAATTCTGAAGGAAAAATCTTAGGAAAGATGATGAATATTTTGCTAAAAGTGTAAAACATTTTGTGAATATAGAAAACTTTTGTTGATTTGTGTCGGGATTCGGTATGATATAAAGAGACTAGAGATCCATCACAAAGGATTTTCATTAAATTGGGCTCTAATATATAAAATATAAATAGGTAGATATCAATGGAGACTATCCAGTGTCTGAATAAATTTGATTAGATTGATCCATACACCCAATGACCTACGGATCTCATATATAAGAGGTCTTCGACTTTTTTTACATGGGATGATGGACAAGAAAATTTGATGAATCTGTCAAAACAATGCTCTAAGGTGGAAAGAAAAAAAACAGTATTTCAACGCATGGCAATTAAATATTATAAGGGCAGTAGGAAAAGTCATACATTTCAAGAAATTTACCTCCGGTATAATTGGTTCATTCACCGTCTCAGTATCCCTTGGTTCATAAGATTCAGACAACTGATACATTTTACTTTCAAACTCTGCCTCAGATGAAACGCCAGCTAGTTCAAATGGATCAACATGTTCTAAGAATTCCTAGTAAAATAAAATTGAGAAAATAATTATGAAATGTTTTTTAGATATTTGCATACTAAAACATACATATATATGTTGCCTTTAACAAAGAAATACTCACTTATTTCGTACAACAAAATGTAACAATTGGTGACCAACTAAATTCACCATTAAGATTGACTTCAATTGGAAACCAATGTCCTAGATGTTTTGAAATACTGAACACTTAAGTAATATTAAATATAGAACCACGAGCCAGATCGATGCGATATACAATCAAAACAAAGTAAACAATGACAGGTTGAATGTCAACAATAACCAATCAAGATCGAGGTATACAGGGAAAGCTGTGAGCCATATGTGGCGAAATTCGAACACTTCACTTTTACCGGAAGTTTGTGCTGATAATGTCGTTCAAAATGACGATGAAAGCTCCACGACAAAACCGTACAGCTCAGAGAACAAAATTTCATCGAAATCATCCATTTGAGCTACAAGTCTCGTCAACCATCTCAATATCAATCCGAAGAATATTTTCACAGTTCGTACACGTCTGTTCAAAATAGTATCATTTATCAACCTTATTATTCAATAACAAGCACAATGTCAGTTAACGTATATATTAGTGTGAACCATAGTAAATGTTTGGATTTAAAGCAAGGAAAATCAGATAAAAACATGTCCTTACGAACATTAAATTAAAGCCAAATAAATCTAGGCAAGAATTTTTTTCACCCTATGAGTATTTTTCATGAAAGTTTCACTTAAATTTGAATAAAACTACAATTAAATATAACCCATTTCGATTATGTAACAAATTTATTTCAGTTTAAAGCACTACCCAGAGGTTGCTTAGAGAAAACACAATCAAACATTGATTTTTATTTATGTAAAATATGGTGAAATCTGAGGCAATTAAAGGGAATAACAGACGACTACACAACCGATTGCGTCTTCCTACTTTCATTGGATTGTTTGGTTACTTTTTAAGTAAAAACGTGAACGATTGAAAACATTGTTGTTTAAATCTAATTTTTTGAGGATTGCATAAGTGAATTACTATTCAACAACAACTAAACGAAAATTGTAATCAAATTAATGAAATAACATAGTATATTGTTATAGTTTTAAAAAAAAGGTCATCATAAAGCACCAGTTACAAAGATAGGATTAATTTATCGTCAGGATGTGTTACGTCATATCTTAGTGTTTCGATTATAATTAAATCTTAAACAATGTAAAGTTGATTTGCGAAGTTTCTGTTTGATTTAAAACAAATGAAATATGATATATATATATATTCGTTTTAGCAGAACAAATCGGCGAGACTATAATCTATGGAGGAACCAATTAGATATAAGTTAACAGGTCTTGAATTTTGGCGCGAAATTTATTCACAACCAGCTAAATAGAGTTTTGGCACGTTCATGGTCAAAACCCTGAATCTAATTCCTAACCCCAACCATCAACTGTAAACCACAATCCCAATTCCTTACACTGGTTTATAACCATCATTTAGTCCTAATTAGTATGTGAATATTTTGAAGGTCACTCTAAAGTCGCTCAAAGGTCGTTCATAAATTATAATCTCACCAATAAATCTGTTCAGATGATTTGTAACGAAATAGTACTGGAAATGAATAGGAAAAAGACAGAGATGAATGGAAACACAGTCTTTTTGTTTCTTTCGGAATTATATTCATTTAAAAAAGTAAAAATAACAAATCTTGACTTACTCGTATATTATCATCTACATTAAATGTATATGGAATACGTTGAAATGCTAAATAACGTTCAACAATATCAGCTAATTGACGATGTTTCCAACAATTAATCATTACATTACCAACGTCATTTATAATTGTATCTGGATGACGTAAATCTAAGTGTATTAGACGTGTCATTACTCCAGCAGCTATATATGGAACACATGGATGACATGATTCACCAGAGGCATGTTGTTTTTCTAGTACGCGTATACGACGTTCATGTGATTTACTTGTTCCAGATGAAAATGGCAAACCGAAACTAGCAAAATGACTATTTATTGGATTATTATTACTAGTAGTATTGTTAGTACTGTTGTTATGAATAGGATGATTTGCTGATAGATTTGAATCGATCATTGGATTGTTTTGATGTGATATTAATGATGATGATGATGAGCACGAAGAGGATGTTCGCTGACATTTCGGATTGTGAACACCTTCACGTCTTAGACGATCAACTATTTCACGATAATGTCGCATTCGACGAATAGCCTAAATTATTATTATTTGAACAAAAAAGGGTGAATTGAAGATAAAAACATAATAATGTTATAAGATAGTTAACTGATTTAATAAATTAGTATATGATTAAAGGCAGAATGTAAACGTTAGATTTTTTCTATATCGTCAACTTACGGTTCTGCAATCATACTAAATCTGAAATAGTTATACCGAAAATTTTCGAGCACAACAACAGATAACGAATCACTTTAGTATACCATCAAAATCTAATGAATCCCAAGTTAAACCACATAATCATAAAATTGGGGTTGTAGAGATTGAATTCCGTTGAAATCGTAAACGGATCCTAAAAAGATCCGCTACTGGAAACCTAGAAGCACTAAATGACCGTCTCATTCAGGTATGGGACTCCTCAGTAGTGAGCACTCACGAACCGACACATGGAAATTGAACCAAAGACCCTTGATTTCGCACGCTAACATCTAGATCAACAAACCGATATCCAACGGTGTCTTTGAAAAGTATTGCTATTCAAAAGAGACCAAATGAGCCATATATTCGGGATCTAACCGTTGATTCCACTCAATCTGCGCACACAATGAGACCATCAAGTGAGAAACTACGATGTATGAAGTCAACTAACGGAAAGATGATTCATTGATACCTACACTGTACGACAATCAGACTTCACTAAAATTCGAAAACTATTGATGACTAAACTACCTTACTTCTCAGCTTACATCAAAAACGTCGTGTCACGCATTAATTTACAACAGAAGAGGAAGATAAAATTAAATGGTCTAATTATTCTTTTCAGTAGCAAACATGCAACAGGTTAAATAAAAAAATCTGTCTATCGTTGCTGGGTAATACTAAACGAACTATATATATTTGATTACCTGAAATGACTTCCTCAAACGATACACGGCTGCACTAATCAATGCTGACTTGGCTTCCTGACTTCCTTGTAAATTATTCATATGCTCCATAATTAACATCAAGTCGATAACACGTTGGATGCCAACTATTCGATCATCTGGGTGTGCTTCACTAAGTATCGAATAGATTAACCAACTGCGAAACTATAAACAATTGTTTTTAAGAAACGGGAAGGATACGAAAATATAATAGTATTTGTCATTATCATCATTATTATAATAATAAAGTAAAATGACTTAACTAGTATTTCATTTGTATAGAATGAGAATCCAAATGCCCTAGTACGGCCGAGAGTAGGTAGAGTCCTCATTTCCCTCGAGACGCTATCAACTAGTGTATACCCACTACCAAATAAGTACCATTCATTGCTTTGTCGCAGAACGGGTTTGTCTACTAAATTAAGTGGATGAAATGCGAATGACCTACGCTTAACTGGGTTGGTATATAGAGAGGATTCACCTTGGGATGGAAAGTTGAAAAAACCCAATGGAAAACTAATGGTGCACATTGGCTATAGAATCCTGAAGGAACAAATGACGTATGAACCTATTGTTGGTCACCGGCTACAATGGGACTGCATCTATTTACATTGCTTCCACTGTCTTGCGAATTAGACCTGTAGATAGAAGGCTCGAGGTGTGGTCCCCTAAGAAATCCACCTACTTCGATTTGGGCACCCGAGCGGTACTCCAGCCCTCACACAAAACAATTGGTTTGTGCGGTGCACATATATTTGTTTCCTTCTTGTATCAACGTTTATGTGTTTAAGATAATATAAGTAGATAAAACAAAGCATTCTAAAACTGGATGAATTAAAAACATTAAAACAAATTTATTCGTGACCTCGCGGCATAATTATTTGATTGACTATTTCACCTGACCTACCGATTGAGAAAATGCAAACTGACTGACTGAAGACAGTGCAATGACTGTTACTGTGATTGGAAAAAGCCCTTAAATCAGTAGCAATTGCGCAAAATCCACAGTTTTCTCGTATATCTTGAATCCAAAGATTAGAACTACATATTTCACAAGTTTATTCGGTGATTGAGTAGCTCAGAGTTCTTAAACCTATCACATCCCTGAGTCATATAGATTTAAAGACATTGAGGAATCTGTCGACTTAAGAAGTCCATAAAAAATAAATTATTGGAAACAAATAAATCCCTCACAATAGTTTAATATACTTGTATTAAATGGTTGATAACAGTTAACACCACGTATTGAGTTGGAGTTTGTCAATTATTAAGTCACCCAAATGGTGAGCATACAAATCTGAGTGCAGATCTTTCAATATCCTGGTACCATAGGTTTAACAGTGAAGTTAGACGCACTATACCAAATAAACACGATATTTCAAGTAATGAAGTAGCTAATCTTTACTGACTAAGGTAGTTGATACATATATTACCTACGCAAGACTATAACCTAACCTGACGCGATATGTTAGCTGGTGTAGTAGTCTGGAAGAAAGTTAAGGGTGGTCAAACCATGATGTGACATCAAATCATGAATTCACTCTGTTTGGATAGGTGTAGACTACATAGTTGAGGTCAGCGTGATTATTGTAACCAATGGATAACATAGATCAGAATCGGTCATAGTAGCGCAGCATTTATTTATTTATTTGAACACATAAATATTGGTACAAGAGAGCGCCAATATATATGCGCCACACAAAACAATGGGAATTCGAAGAGAAGTAGAAGGAAAAAAAACTAAGGAACGCAAAAGAAAAAGAGAGTAATGACGAAGAGGTACAATCAGAAGAAATCTTTCAGGTAAAGGAGACACAACCACTTTTATGAAGAAAGTAAAAGAAGGTTACAGCATGATCGCCACTGGCTTCTATTCTGAGCCATATCTGATAACGTCTCTAGCCACTGTGTAGCACCATCTCTCGGACCCCAACCAGGGAGTCGTGAAGGACCAACACAAGCCAGTCCTTTGCAGCTTTCTTTCATGCCACGACACCATGTCATGCACTGACCACCTCTCCGCTTCTTCCAACCAGTCCAAGAGTCGGCAAATAATGCACGACGTGGAATTCTCTGGGACGACATTCGGAGAACATGTCCAAGCCACCGAAGTCGGTGTTTCAAGATGGTGACACCAATTGAGTTATCATCTCTGTGCCCGAACACACGATGCCGAACCTCTACATTACTGACATGGTGTTGCCACTGAATGTCAGCAATCCTTCGGAGACAGCGATGATCGAACACAGAGAGTCGTCTAACGTCCTCAACTCGGAGAGGCCAGGTTTCACAAGCATAGAGCAAAACTGCTCTCACCGACGCGTTGTAGATCCGGCCTTTTACAGCCAGACTAACATCACGAAGGCGCCAAAGGTGGCCCAGATTGACATAAGCCGCTCTGGCTTTCACTATTCGTGCATTGATCTCATCACTCACACCTCCACCAGCACTTATACAGCTACCCAGATACACAAACTTCTCAACTACGTCTATCTGCTCACCATCCAGGGTGAGTACAGGATTAGAATCCTGCCAGTCTTGTAGAAGTACTTTGCACTTCGAAGGTGCAAAGCACATACCATATCTACGGACATTGATTGCCAACTAATTAAGTGAGGATTGCATGCCTTGGGCATTATCGCACAGTAAGACAATATCGTCCGCATACTCAAGGTCGAGAAGTCTTTCTCCAGGCAACAGATCCACACCACCATTACTTACATTCATCAGAGCTGTTTCCAGAATGCCGTCGATGGCAAAGTTAGAAGAGGAGTGGTGAGATTGGGCAACCCTGCCTAACCTCACTGCTCGAATGGAACAATGGAGAAAGGTGGTTGTATGCCCTCACTCTGCCTGAGGTGTTTGTATATAGGGCCTCTAGGATGTTAAACAACTTCTCAGGCACACCCTTCTTCAATAGACAATCCCAGAGAACAGTCCTGTCCAACGAATCGAAGGCAGTCAAGAAATACTACGATTGTTGGCCTTTGATAAGTATGGCGGTGTTCTAACATTTGGCGGAGGGTGAAGATATGATCAATACATCCTCGACCAGAACGAAACCCAGCCTGCTCCTCGCGAGTCAATCTTTCTCGGGTTTTGAACAACCTACGAAGAATGACGGAAGCCAATAGCTTGGACGCAATCGGAAGTAAACTTATCCCCCGATAGTTGTTACAAGAACGACGTGAACCCTTTTTAAAGATAGGGACAACTATCGACTCATTCCATGACGTTGGCACACTCTCTAGTTCCCAAACCTTTGTGAACAACGTCGTCAATTCCTTAGTCAAAAAGTCACCACCATCTTTAAAAAGAGCCGGAGGTAAGTCATCTGGGCCAGGTGATTTGTATCGCTTCAAGAGTTGGAGTTCCTTGCGGACTTCCGCCTCATGTGGTGGATCAGTCGTCACCGGCCATGGAGGGTAGGACAGTCTGACAGATGTTGCCGGAGCAGCAGGCCAGTTGAACTGCCCTTCAGAAAATTCTGCCCATCGTCCAAGACGTCGATGGATGTTAGTGATTGGCATCCCATCATCCTCGCAGATTGTTTCACTCACACCAGACTTCTTGCTGCCAGTGGCTCGGATGAGCTGGAAGAGCTTCCGGTAGTTACCAGATGCAGCTGCTGCTTCCAGCTCATTAGCACGCATCGACCACCAGGCTTCTCGGTCCTTACGCAAGCTTTGCCCGATTTCCTTACGTAACATCCTTCGTTTATGGTCAAACTCACGGTTACCCGGAGTAGACCAACGGGCTTCAATGAGTTGTAAGGAACCAGAAGAAACCCAGTGCTTAAAAGCGGGACGTTTCGCAAACCCACAACTGACTGTTCCCGCCATTTTCATGGCGTCATGCAATTGCAACCAATGCTCATCTATACTTTTCGGTGGAGTGGTAGCTAGCGCAGCATACACTCCGTGAATTGCTTTATATCTTGAGTTTTAAAATTATCCCGTTGTAACGAATGTTTTCTAGCAACACCAATAAATAGTAATATCGCTACTAGTATTACTACTCAGTCACTTGGCTTAATAATTTCAGTTCTCTTTGCTAATGTCAACTTGAACCCACATATATTCCACATACATACGCTGCTTTATGATGAACTGACTGACTTAAGTAAACTTTTATATGAAATCAGTGGTATTTAATTGTCCCAAGTTTACAATATGGGTAAATGAGTTGAGAATAATTAGCCTAGAGTCGATCGAATAAGTCAAAGCTGAAAAAGCTAAATTACGATTCATCCAAATCGAACACCGGATAATATAACAGTAACCGTTTGAAAGACGATCCATATACTTTACTATCGACTATCTGTAAATGAACCAACATCAATTTTACGTCGCATAAGTATTAAAGGCTTCAGTCTACATGAAACACGTTACATCCATTATTTACTGTAAATTATTAAGGGCTAAGTGGTAGTCAGTCAGCCATGACTTAAGTTTATATATGTTATTTGAAGGTTGTAGGCCATGTTGAATAAAAGAAAACAAGCAACGTGTATTATATACATTACCGTTTTTAATAAACAGCATGATATTAAGATATCTTCTATACTTTTCAAAAATTAGTCAATATTAAAATGTGTATAGACTTGATGTCAATTATTCAGAATAACAAAGTAATTGATAACTAGTAGTATTGTAACAAATTTGGATTTTTTTCCCCTAACGTCTATTCCTCCCAGTTTATTTTACTCCTGATGATAAATACAGTACATATTATTTCTTAATTTATTTACTATCCCAATTGTCAATATTAACTAATGAGTATGTAAATTGAATTTGCATTTTTTTAAAAACCATGTTTACAACCTATAGAATAATAGTTGTTACCTTCTCAAAAATGCTACTCATAGTTTGATTTGGCACAAATAAACAATAAATAATAATAATAAAATGACCAATCAATGGAGAATAACAACACTTATCCACACACACACAACCATATTTTCAGAGGATACGAAAGCAGTTGTTTTAATTAATTAATTAAAAGAAACATAATATACAATCATTGTCAAATTTCACTAATAGTTTATATTTTGGTGAATATTACCATTAAACTAAGCCATTGTTAGAAAAATAAATTTGTCAACATATAATGTTAGACCGTCCAATGCTTCCAGGTTTCCCATAGTGGTCTAGCTTTAACTGACTCATGATCTTAACCATTGAAATTAACTAATATTATTGTTATCATGCTTACGAAGAGACCCGAAAGTATTTCGCTCAAGCCTGTGTACGGGAGATAAAGTGGTTGTATGTATAACACTCGAAATTACGGAGAAACACCTCTTCCACACTCCTATATTTCAAATATTTTTTTAAAAAATGATATCAGTTCATGGTAAGAACAATCTAATTAGAAGTAAATCGAATGTGTTAGTTCATGCAAATTATCTTTGTACTATGATACAAAGATAATTTGCATAAATAAGAAAAAAAAAAGAATTTGCAAATTATGATGATGTGGTACGATTTTTTAAATTTATGATCAATTAGCGTTAAAAATAAATATCCCCATAGATCAATGGAAACAAAGGTGTGTGTGCGCTACAGTAGTATATCATCACAAACGATGTATAATTAATGAGATGATTTTAAGTATTCAAATATATCCGAAACAATAGTAGGTTTAAGAACACCACCACTAATAACAACAGCAACTACTACTACTATCAATGGATACACACTGAGGTCACATGACAGGAAATCACTGTTCATATTATTATTATTATTATTATTATTATTATTATTACTATGTGGACTTGGAATAAATATCGTATGATAAAGACGAAGGTTGTATAGTTAAAATATGTAGGATTAATAAACTTCTAAGTAGTAATAAAGAATTTAATGAGAAATATTTTTTGGAATATTGATTTATTTGTGTTATTGTTTCGTTAAAACGAAAAACTCACATATTTTTGAACATGAAAAAGTGGTCAAAGTAAAGACGAACTACAGTGATTCTTAAAACGACTGATTTAATTTGAAGTTACTTTTCAATAAACATTCAGTATAAATTAAATGTATTTCATAATAGAAACACTAAAACTTGTAAAAAATTAGCGTCTTTTTTTTAGGATGTTGACTGATTTCTCAAGGTTTATTATCAGTTTTCTTGTCCCAAGATTGTAGATATAGTTTTACAGAAAATTCATCATCGCTTATTAAAAGACTAGTATTAGTAAATTTGTGGGACGGTTATGAAGAACTATCGCAGTCAACGACGTCAGGGCGATATGAAAATGTCAAGAGCATTCCTACCTCACCCATTTGCTTATAACCACTGGTGAAATGATTTCTTTGGAAGTTTACGATAAAAAGAGTGAATTGAAACAAAATTTGATCGACTCACGTAGTAAGTAGTAAGATCTATTCATACGAAAGTGAACACTTTTTACATTTAGTAATTTCATTTTAGCACATTACGATGAAGATTTCTTTCCAAAAATTTTAAACATTATGAGCATTATACATAGTTGCTCCTAACGCACATTTTGTGATGAAGATAAAAGTTGTCTAATTTAGAATTTCGCGCAGAACATTGAAAAACGTTTTCTTGATTTTGATTGACATTTCCTCATGATGTTCGTCTACTGAATAAGGTTATCACCGTGGAGACATATATATGTGTATGATACACTTACTCAGTACAGACTTATACGGTATGCTGAAAACTAACAACTCTGATGAATGAAACAATGAGCTACAGTTTATTATGGTAGTGAATTGTCATATTAGTTACAGCAATCCAGCTAATATATGGTAAATTTACTTTCTTCAGTATCGGGAATCGGGAAGTAACAATGAACGTTACACAGTGTGGTCTTAAGTCGAGTACTTACTTTTGCGCTTATTAAATGAGCTAGACAAAAATTGAAGTAATGGATTTAAACGAGAGATTTCCATGAATTTAAAATTACGAACCCGTGTATACAAAATGTTGGCCTTGGAAGCCCAATCAAAAAGAAACATCAGAATTTGCTAATTTAATCTTTAACACAGCAAGTGAAATTTACGATTCATCGTAACTCGGAGGTCAGAAATACATTTGAAGCTATTACGCGAATGTCCAACACTTAACTGGGTTGGTATATAGAGAGGATTCACCTTGGGATGGAAAGTTCAAAAAACCCAATGGAAAACTAATGGTGCACATTGGCTATAGAATCCTGAAGGAACAAATGACGTATGAACCTATTGTTGGTCACAGGCTACAATGGGACTGCATCTCTTTACATTGCTCCACTGTCTTGTGGATTAGACCTGTAGGTAGGAGGCTCGAGGTGTGGTCCCCTAAGAAATCCACCTACTTCGATTTGGACACCCGGGCAGTACCCTAGCCCATATATAAACGATAACTGCTTGTGTTACACGTACATAGTTTGGTACCTCTTTGAATCAATGTTTACGTGTTTAAATAAATAGATGAGTAAGAATATGTTCAAGCATCAATTGAGCTAAAAAAAAAATATTAATAACTGCTAGCAAACACCAAACGTAATTCAAAATCACTTTTCTGGATTATCACGTAAACGATATCGACTTATCGAGTGTAGTAATCATGTTGAAACTAATGGCACTATAGATTATGATAAACATTAATATTCATCAACCAATTAGTTCACAGATAAGTAACTAAAACTGGATTAACAAACAAATATATCGTGTAACACAGTATAATACAACCTTATGAAATAAGATATATTATAATTAAACAAATTAAATAATTACTCTTAAATTATTGATAATCTTAAAAGAATACTTATTTTAGTAATTTTAAAAGAAAGAAAAAAAAGACTATTGTGAATTAAGAAATCGGCATTGAATTCAGTTAGTCAAACGAATATAAAAACAACTAACGTCTATGAAACAAAGATGCAACATTTTAACTACAATTTATCTTCTTTTATAATAAAATTCATTATTCAATAATTGTTTTTTTATTGAAAGCAATCGAAGAAACAAAATGGAAGTTAATTGTAAATCATACAAAATGAATAAATGCTAACATTAAATAGAAATAATTTCGCGAAACTGATGAGGGAAAATAGAAAACCTTGATTGTGATGAGAAAAAAATAAACTGAAAACTGAACGGAAACTTTTTACATTAAAATTTGTGTTCATAGAAGATACTTCAATCTGTTGATGCCTTTATCAAGACCTTATTTTTATTCATTTATGTAAACATATAAACATTGATACAAGAAGGAAAAAAATATATATACACCGCACAAACCAATTGTTTTGTGTGAGGGCTGGAGTACCGCTCGGGTGCCCAAATCGAAGTAGGTGGATTTCTTAGGGGACCACACCTCGAGCCTTCTATCTACAGGTCTAATTCGCAAGACAGTGGAAGCAATTTAAAGAGATGCAGTCCCATTGTAGTCGGTGACCAACAATAGGTTCATACGTCATTTGTTCCTTCAGGATTCTATAGCCAATGTGCACCATTAGTTTTCCATTGGTTTTTTTCAACTTTCCATCCCAAGGTGAATCCTCTCTATATACCAACCCAGTTAAGCGTAGGTCATTCGCATTTCATCCACTTAATTTAGTAAACAAACCCGTTCTGCGACAAAGCAATGAATGGTACTTATTTGGTAGTGGGTATACACTAGTTGATAGCGTTTTGCACCAGGGCATAATGTTATCTGTGCAGTTCTACTCCACATACATACAAACATGTCCAACAAGAAAACAATCGAATAGGTAATTAGTTTGTGGAATGTCAAACCAAAAACTAGTTACTTCTAGTAGACATGAATGAAACACAAATATTCATAACACACGCTAAATTATATAAGTTGATATTTCACGTCAAACTGTGACTTGATCAAGACTTTTTCAATAGGTTAATGATATTGTTCTGGTATGTCTACCAAGAACATAGCAGAAACATGTTAAGGGAAAAAATAGTTATAATTAACGATAAATATATTTGAACACTTACACGATTTGAAAATGACTTTGATTTATTCAGATTAGGTACAGCATTACCAGTGCGATCGCGACTTTCAACTTCCCAAAATGGTATACGTCGATATAATTCCCATTCATATAATGTAACCTGTTCAGCTAATTTGAAAGGATGAATCTATTAAAAACAAAGATTAATAGAAAGTAATTAATGAGAAACACACAAACAGATTTAAAGAAAATATATAATTCAGACAAAATACATGAATTTACTATTGGCCTAAATAATGAGTTATCTTATTCAGAGTTTTCACGCACTGGCTCTCGTATAAATCCTACCAACTATGATGACCTGTACTAGTAGTTGAGCTAACTGCGGATGTAGATAAGTTCAAATGACCCAATACCTAGAATTATCACATTACAAAAACATTATCTACATACCGTACTTTGCAACTCAATAGTAGTGTTTTAATGCTCAAAATGAGCAAGATATAATAGAATCTGAACTCATATAAGCATTACCAATGTTACAATGTATTAGGTAATCGGTTAATGTATATCTACTTGAAAATATAATTAATGAATCAGTTTGGAAAGAAGCAACTGACAGAAGACAATCTTTCATAATGCTCATCTCCGACAATACTGTTTAATAAGTCTGTGCATAGAAATGGCACAAAACTCATAATCATTAAGCTTGACATAGTCACATGTCATAACAGTTCATACGTTGAAGCATTTCATAAACTCTAGAATCTGGACAAACGGCGAACGTTGAAAGATAATAAATTACATCATAATTTTCATTTTATTTATATTCGCCATAGATATATTTAATAAATAATTAACGTAGAAAATATGTCACTACATTCTATCTAATTGGCACTTTCAGTAGATTTTAAAGAGTCTCTGACATTAATGAATTATCTATGGCCTTTCCTAATAAAAATGAATGAGTAGAGTAATAGAGTAGTAAAAATAGTTACAGTATTAGTATAGTAGTAGGAGAAAAAACCAGAACTACGCTATGATTCCAAAACTCAAGATCTCAAGGAAGTCAAAAAGTGAATTAGTGCTGCCCCATTGTGATGAATTCTGACATATGTCACTCAACGTTTTCAACCATTAATTATAATAAGAAAAATTATTAGTAATTTGTAAATTGCTAGATGCTTAAAATAGAGATTAGCAAAAAGTGAATTCTGAATTAAAAATGTCATTACTGTTAAATAAAAATTGTATGGTTAAATTACAACTCCACCTGGAGCCCCTCTGGGGTTACTGTCGGCCCCAAGCCCGGATAAAGGAGGGTTGGGCATGAGGTTAGCGACCCCATCCCGTAGAAAACTGACTCGCTAAAAAAACACTAAGAAGAATGGTTAAATTACACAATTTGATTAAAGTTTTTGAACTACTATACATTAATTTTAGGGTAGTAATAATAATAATGATAATAGTAATTCACGAAGAAAATAACACACTAACTAGAAACAGTAATCAACTCACATTATTTAAGGTTATACGATTTGCAAAATTTCTTAATTGATTTGATTCGATTGGTGATACAGATGTTGGGTCAGATGATGATGATATTGGCAATAAATCCGCATTATCTTTACTTGTTTCCATTGTTCTTATCATTGTTTCAGGATATTGTGTAGAAATTGGAGGATTTTGCAAATAATGTTTAATACGTTCAACAGACGAAATTAAATATCTAGCTTGTATACTCGATAAAAAATCTAACAGTTTCTGACGTAGTCGAGGATTAGGAGCAAAATCATTCTGATAATAACGTACATTACGAACCCAACGGGATAGGAACATTATCACTCTGGAAAGAAAATAAGAATTGATTAAAAAATTTAAAATTATTACGATTGATAAACTGTAAACCTTGTCATTGATCGATTTCTAAAATGATAGATTATTCTACAAGTCACTTATTGCCCATAGTACGCTACTCAAGTTGAACTAAGTGAAGTCGTAAAATAAGTGGTTTTTATAGCGAAACAAATAAACACAGACGACCCCATAGCATGTAGAGTTAGCAGTAACACTTTATTCTCGGACATAAAATTTGCTGTTGTTGGAAAATCATTCTAATAAAGGCCTGGTTGGAATGTTTGGATGGGTAATCCCGACCACTAATTAAAGGTAGGGGACTCATACAGTATAACTACTAAGTTTTCATCACCGTATGGGCAAATTAAATTTACCTACCTGGTATTATTACTAACTCATATACACAATAAATATAACACAGAACTATTACGAAAAGAATCGGTTGGATCAATACGTAGAACACCAGGGCTAGTTGTAGTAACAATAATGTCCTAGGTAAAGAAAATAATATGAAGCAGTAAAGGACTAACAAACAACATGCATTGAAGAGCAATACACAGCTGTCATCGCCTAAATCCGACAATAGGGGCTACATAATTAAATTTCTTACCAAAATAATTTAATAATGGCTTCATATATAACAATGGGACAGAAATTATCTCATTTAAATATGTAAAAAAAATATTACTTTTAAAATTTTACCTAGACTGAATACGCTTTTTATATCCTGAACGAAATCTTTTGAGCATATGCTGTGCTGGAGATTCCAATTGACCCTGCTCTACTTCAATATTCCATTCTTCAGGTAGAAATTCCGGATCAGGTATACGAAACCTTTCAATGAGTAAATCTAACAATTCATCTGATGTAGTAACACGTCTATAAACCAATAGGAAACAATTTACTAAACGTGTATCAAAATAAGTTGGATAGGTGAGCCGTTCAATTAGTTTATCTAATGTAGCCATACGTATTTGTGGTGGAAAACTGGATGAATTAGAAAAGCGTTGATTGACAATTTCAGTAGACCGAATAGGGGATTGCGATGATTGTCGTTGAAAAGCATAATCACGCAAAGATTTTATTGTACTGGTACGACCATTCGTAAGAGTTTGGTTTGGATTATTGTTATTATTATGACAATCATTAGATGATCCATGACTAGTCAGGGTTAATGTACTCGATGAACCACTGTTACTCAACATTGATATCATAACATTAGTACTGTCTTGCTTTTCATGACTTCCAGATAATATTATCTCTCCACTGCGATCATCACTACGTTCAGTGCCGATAAAATTACTATTATGATTAATAGTCGTAGTAGAATTTTCAATATTTGATGATAATGATGTACTTGTTATCGGTGAAGATTGTGATGATAGACCAATTACTAATGAAAGAGGTGAAGAATTAACAACAATATTAGAAGACGCTAAAGAATGCGATCCTATCAATACTCCATTATTATCGTCATCATCACCTTCATCATCTTCATCTTTTCCTTCTAATTCTTCCTCTTCCCTTTCACCATCTGGACTAGTATCACCTGTTGTACATAAATAACTAGATGATTCATTGAAACGTATTTTACCAGAATCAAAATGATTTGTTACATCAGTTGATTGAATTATAGGCTGTTGTTCATGTTGATTTGTATTTGTAATCGCATTATTTTTATAAGGATATAACATAGATATTGGCACATTTGTTTCAAATATAATATTGTTCATACTATCAGGTTGACTAAATCTAGTCGTAAAATACAATTGCAAAAAAAAAATATGTATATGAGAAAAACCGAATAGTTTTAATGTTTGTTCTGGAAAATTCGATCGATCCGAAATTATCTTTATTTAATTGAGAGAGAGTTCGAACCACACAGTGAGTAAATATAACTAGTACAATTATTAGAGACTTAATAAAATCCCATCAGTAATTCATCTAAAAGGTACATGTTTATGTAGTTTACTTGAATTACATAAATCATGTCAAGGCTATTGATATTACCGGGCAATAAAAGCTGAAAAGATAGAATAGGATTGAAACTAGTAACCCATTGGTTGAAATTTGGGCGCCAATGCATGTTTTGTCATAACATTTCCAGAAATATTCAACACAGCATCCAACAATACCATACTGTTGTAAAAGAGCTACCAACTACATCATGTAAAGAGAATCCTATATTACATTTATATATGTCTTAGCAGAACAGAGTACATTGGAGATTACTGATAGGCGAACTATGCTTCACGAAGAAATGAAAGGCGTAGGTAAGTAAATATTCTAGGCAAAAGAGAATATACCATAAAAGAGAATGAAGAGTGACGGGTAATACGGGTTTACAAAGTTGTGGTTGGATCTTCTCCAGAAAACAGTAAGAATGCAAATTGCAAGACCGTTTTATTTTTATGCCGAACCGACGTGTTAGGTAAAAACTAGATGCCATCAGAGAGCGAAATGAAAGGTTAATTTTATCTGAAATTACAAAAATCTACATATAGAAAGTGTTGATCGATACAATGACCAAAGGATATACATATATTTAGAAGCGACTTGCTATAAATATGGGAAAGGCAGAACATTACAAAGTCAAAACAAAATATTTTCTCTTATTATCGAGTTCAGAACCAAGATTATTAATGCTGGTATCAATAAGTATTTAGCCTTGACCGGAATGAACGCTTACTTAATTACAGTTTGAATTATCAGCTTCCTTAAAGTGAACATAGTATTTTGGAAATCAGTTGTGTAATTTAAAAGCGTATTTTACGAGCAGCTTTGTACCATGAATTGAGAAGTTAGCCAACTGACATTCAAACTTAATCAAATTGTAAATTAAATTAGACAAAAATTAAAAGGCAGCTTTAAAAATACAATTCTTTCTGATAAACGTGTTTTCATCGCACATAACACAATGTTCAATAACACAAACGAAGATAGACAAAATATCCGCTACATGTCACTTCTCCAACTCCTCAAAACAACTTACATGTTCTTGTAAAAGCACGTACATTGAAGGAACATGAAGACTGGTATTTACGCGTTTTGTTGAACATATTCCAAAGAACATATGGTTTCAAAGACAAAAGATTTTTCAGTTTTATAAGCATGACATATAACTAAGATGAGACATAAGGCAGATGGGATGAAAGCATTCAAAATAATAGAAAGACAATATGAGTCAGCAGTTAACCTTTATCTGCGTTGGTAACAAAAGACTTTCGACATTTTTACTCACGTAAGTTCAGTTCATACGTCTTTTCGTTCCAAACTTTTTAGATTTTTGCTTCATTACATAATGGAAATTATTTTAAAATATTATACCGCCGTCACATCTAAAATTTATAACAGCCTGTTTAAAAATTAATTCTGAATAACATTTATATTCTGTACACATTATTTATTATCAGTATAGGGTTGTGGAGATTTATGAGTCTTTAATTAAGGTCATGATTCGATCAATATCAGACAACCATTGAAAACCTGGAAGCAGGACCAGAGGTCTTGTGTTCGGATTCCGTGTGCGGAATCATGTACATGTACTGCTGAGGAGTACCATAATAAGATTAAACGGCCGTTCAGTGCATCCAGGTTCTTAGTGATGGCCTGACATTGATCGGTTCATGATCTCAATTAGCATCGTTTAACGGTGGATAAAATTTCTCATAATTTTAAATTATGTTATTAATTGAAACATACCCAAGCTTATTAGTTTGTATGTAGCGAAAGAGAAAGTAACCAATTATAGTGAATAGATTTTATTCTACAATCAATTACATTTCGACTTTACGTAAATTTGTAAAGCCAATTCAGCTAGGCTATTTGTAAAATTCAAGAATCTCGACTTTAGAGAAGTGAATTTTTATCATGGAGTATTTATGAAATATTAGAAAAGAGAACGAAGTAAACGTTAAACACTGACTGAATTACAACTTCTCAGTTAAGTGATATACGCTGAATAATTAAAAACATCCTCTACTTTTCATAATACATTCAATCTACTAATATGTAAGTATAGGATTGTAAAGATTGTTGAGTTTCATTGAAATCATTAACTGGTCAATTCTTCCAGATTTTTAATGGTGGTCTAACATTGAACGACTCATGATTTCAATGAAATCTACCGGTGTGTTTGTAGAGGCTGATTTCCCCTATATCTGACTCCAATAAATAGTATCCCATTAAATGAGTATTTAATGCAGGCTAAATCTCCTAGTAGAATTATAGATTTACTCGAAATTATTCAAAAAACTGATCATGAATTCGGCCAATACAATTAAGTTAAAAAATGATAAATTGTGCACTTAGCTATGTTCAATAAAATCATGAAACATAAAAACGATAAACTATTACGTATAAGGATTAAATCATGAGTACTTCAAACGCAGTGGACGTTCTACACGTGTTTATCGATGTGAATAAGCATTTTAGTTAAGTAACTGCTTCTCTTAAATGAGTAAGTCATATACCAAAGGAAACACAGATACCTACCTTATAAAATATATCTAATTTAGAAGTAAAACCTAGAATTTTAAAACTAAACACTTTAGGATAACCTAACAAATATACAGAGAGAGTGTGTGTGTGAGTATCAACCATGAATATTTCAACAACAGATTCACATTTGTATAAAATATACTGTAACCTCTAACAGCACTCGAGACCACTGTATTCATAATCAACCTCCGTCTTCAACTCCTATTATTCCTCCTACATCGACTTTCAACTCTAAACTTCCTCTTTCGGCTTCCTCTTCAAGTGTCACCATTTCCAACGATTCTAGTGCTCAAAACACTGTCCCAGGTCTACTGAAACCTCGCTACAAACTACACATTGGAGCCTTCGAAGTACGCATCCTATGTCAAATCGGTCAGCAGGCCTCTTTGGCTAAAACCCTAGAATCTCGTACCATTGATGTATGTTGTGTCTCTGAAACACGCATACAGGATCCTAGTGTGGTCATTCACTTGGCCTCACCTCGGCAACACGGAGACCCAACGAGATACACAGGTTTACTACAGGTCTAATCCACAAGACAGTGGTGCAGTGTTAGGAAATACAGTCTCATTGTAGCCGGTGACCAAAAATTTATTTATTTATTTGGACACATAATATTGGTATAAGAATGCGCCAAATATATATGCGCCACACAAAACAATGAGAATTTAAAAGGAAGGAAAAAAAGAGAGAAAAATAACGAAGAGATTGATGTAAGGTAGTGTAATAATAATAGTAATAGTAGGGGAACAGAAGGGTAAAATCAGAAGAAATCTTTCAGTTAAGGAAGATACAACCACGTGTTATGAAGAAAGTAAAAGAAGGTTACAGCATGATCGCCACTGGCTTCTATTCTGAGCCATATCTGATAACGTTTCTAGCCACTGTGTTGTACCATCTCTCAGACCCCAACCAGGGAGTCGTGAAGGACCGACACAAGCCAGCCCTTTGCAGCTTTCTCTCATACGACGACACCATGTCATACACTGACCACCTCTCCGCTTTTACCAACCAGTCCAAGAGTCGGCAAATAATGCACGGCGTGGAATTCTCTGGGACGACACTCGTAGAACATGTCCAAGCCATCGAAGTCGGTGTTTCAAGATGGTGACACCAATTGAATTATCATCTCTGTGCCCGAACACACGATGCCGAACCTCTGCATTACTAACATGGTGTTGCCACTGGATGTCAGCAATCCTTCGGAGAAAACGATGATCAAACATAGATAGTCGTCTAACGCCTTCAACTCGGAGAGGCCAGGTTTCACAAGCATAGAGCAAAACTGCTCTCACCGACGCGTTGTAAATTCGACCTTTTACGGCCAGACTAACATCACGAAGGCGCCAAAGATGGCCCAGATTGGCATAAGCCGCTCTGGCTTTCACTTTACGTGCATTGATCTCATCACTCATCCCCCACCAGCACTTATGCAGCTACCCAGATACACGAACTTCTCGACTACGTCTATCTGCTCACCATCCAGGGTGAGTACAGGATTGGAATCCTGTCAGTCTTGTAGAAGTACTTTGCACTTCGAAGGTGCAAAGCACATACCATACCTACGGACACTGATTGCCAACTAATTAAGTGCGGATTGCATGCCTTGGGCATTATCGCACAGTAAGACAATATCGTCCGCATACTCAAGGTCGAGAAGTCTTTCTCCAAACAACAGATCCACACCGCCATTACTTACATTCATCAGAGCTGTTTCCAGAATGTCATCGATGGCAAAGTTGAAGAGGAATTGTGAGATTGGGCAACCCTGCCTAACCTCACTGCTCGGATAGAACAATGGAGAAAGGTGGTTGTATGCCCTCACTCTGCCTGAGGTGTTTGTATATAGGGCTTTTAGGATGTTAATAAACTTCTCAGGCACACCCTTCTTCAATAGACAATCCCAGAGAACAGTTCTGTCCAACGAATCGAAGGCAGCCCTGATGTCAAGAAACACTACAATTGTTGGCCTTTGATAAGTATGGCGGTGTTCTAACATTTGGCGGAGGGTGAAGATATGATCAATACATCCTCGACCAGAACGAAACCCAGCCTACTCCTCGCGAGTCAATCTTTCTCGGGTTTTGAACAACCTACGAAGAATGACGGAAGCCAATAGCTTGGACGCAATCGGAAGTAAACTTATCCCCCGATAGTTGTTACAAGAACGACGTGAACCCTTTTTAAAGATAGGGACAACTATCGACTCATTCCATGACGTTGGCACACTCTCTAGTTCCCAAACCTTTGTGAACAACGTCGTCAATTCCTTAGTCAAAAAGTCACCACCATCTTTAAAAAGAGCCGGAGGTAAGTCATCTGGGCCAGGTGATTTGTATCGCTTCAAGAGTTGGAGTTCCTTGCGGACTTCCGCCTCATGTGGTGGATCAGTCGTCACCGGCCATGGAGGGTAGGACAGTCTGACAGATGTTGCCGGAGCAGCAGGCCAGTTGAACTGCCCTTCAGAAAATTCTGCCCATCGTCCAAGACGTCGATGGATGTTAGTGATTGGCATCCCATCATCCTCGCAGATTGTTTCACTCACACCAGACTTCTTGCTGCCAGTGGCTCGGATGAGCTGGAAGAGCTTCCGGTAGTTACCAGATGCAGCTGCTGCTTCCAGCGCATTAGCACGCTCGGACCACCAGGCTTCTCGGTTCTTACGCAAGCTTTGCCCGATTTCCTTACGTACCATCCTTCGTTTGTGGTCAAACTCACGGTCACCCAGAGTAGACCGACGGGCTTCAATGAGTTGTAAGGAACCTGAAGAAACCCAGTGCTTATAAGCGGGACGTTTCGCGAAGCCGCTTGCGGCTTTACTCGCTATTTTCATGGCGTTATGCAGCTCCAACCAATGCTCATCTATAATTTTCGGTGGGATGGTAGCTAGCCTAGATGTCAGCTCAATTCGATACTTACTCGCAACAGAAGTTGCAACCAACTTGCTAACATCAATCCTTTGGTGGCGGTCACTTCGTGAACCACTGAAAAATAGGGTAAGATTGGCGCAGACCAAAGCATGGTCAGAGTCCAGATAGGTACTCCAAAAGGAGCGGCAGTCTTGTACACAACTACACCAGCGATAGCTGATCACGATGTGATCAATTTGAGTCCACGCTTGAGATGCAGAGGGAGGACGCCAGGTGGCACATCGGCAATGACTGTGCCGAAAGTTAGTGCTAGTCAGAAACAGGTGTTGGTCTGTGCACAGTTGCAGTAGACGGTCCCCGTTATCTGTCCTGCGACCAACAAGTCCCCATAGGCCACCTAAACGACTCTCTTCTGTGCCTAGACGCCCGACCTGAGCATTCAATTCTCCGGCTAGTTCTACAATATCTGTCGAACGCACTTTCTGGAGAAAAACAGATAACTGGTGGTAAAACTCATCCGGGCTACAATCTGTCGGAGCATAGGCGGAGATGACGAAAAGACATCGTTTCTCACGCCGATTTCTTCTCACTTTGATGGAACTCTCTAATCTAACAGCACATAACCGACTGTTAATGGGGATCCAATCGATTAGTGCTACCTCAGCTCTAGCGCTTAGTGTGACACCAACGCTAGCAAGACCAGACGAAGATGCCACAGGGTCCCCGGATAAGCGCACGTAAAACAAGCTTTTTGGAGCGACAGATGAAGAACGAATTTGAAGTACTTCACCAGAGTTTTGAATACGGGTCTCGGATAGACAACAAACATCGATATTAAGACTTTCTAAAGACATAGCCAACCCTATCTGTTGTTCAACCTGCATAAGTGTGCGAACGTTGAAGGCAGCCAGTTTGAATGGCGCACGTGGTTTCAGAAAAACTGCTTCAGTACTCATATTCAGTGGAAACATGCAATTTTCAACCGGCCAGTGACTCGAGAACGTTTAGATACAGTCGAATTTCCACCAAAGACGAGCTGCTGTATAAGTCGAAAAAATAGGTATAGACGGAGTAGGAATAAAAGAGGGTGAATAATGATGTAGTAAATGCTCTCACATGGCGACGCGTATACAGCCACTCCCACGGAAGTCCTACTCACTGAACCCTCGCGGCAGTGGTGTTGTTTACGAAATTTAGAAGATGAAAAGCGAATGTCCGATGCTTTAACTGGGTTGGTGGATACGGAGGATCCCTGGTTACAAACCAATGGTGTGCATGGGCTCCAGGATCCTGAGTCAACAAATGGCGTATGAACCTATTGTGGGTCACTGGCTACCACAGGACTTCATCTCCCTACATTACTCCACTGCTTTGTGGAACAGACCTTTAGGTCGAAGGCTCCGGGGGTAGCCCATTAAGAAAACGCCCTGCTTCGGTGCGGGCACCCTGGCAGTATCACAGACCATACATGAATCAATTGGTTTTTGCGGTGCATATCTATTCGGTGCCCCTTCGTATCAATGTTTATGTGTCTAAATAAATAAACTTCTGCAGAAACGCTTGCTGCTTTTCGGTAAGTTGTTGTCAGCATTAGTGCGCTAACTTTTTTGTCACAAAATCATTACATATTATATTTTAATATTGAGTTCTTAAGTATCATATTTTTGCTACGGTCCCTATTCTTTCCTGAATTCCATCGTTTATAGAGAACTGTTGTTGAAGCGTTGTACGTCAGTGATAGTATTATCGAGTTCATATAAATTCCGGTCGTATTAGATAAATCTCAATCATTCGTAATTAGGAAATAATTGTGTGCCCAATTCATAAGCGTTTCCAGAAATCTAACAGATCCCACCTTGATTTCATTAATGGTCAATCGTTGATGAAAGAATTACACAAATTAAAGAAACTCCCGGTGAAATTTTATACTGTTTATTCCAAGTTGAAAGTTAAAGTGTCTAGACGTAGCTTGCACATATTGGCAAATGAAACACAGATTGATGCTTGATTATCATATTTTATCTTCAGATAAATGTAATCATATGAAAATTTCTAACAAAAATAACAATTTTAATTGATGAAATATAAGTCAACAGTTAAGTAATTATAATAAAATAATAACAGAGATAATAATAATAACTACTTGTAAATGTGCGACGATGGCAAACGAAGTGAGACTTCCAGTCTGGGTAAAGTTCGTATATACCGTATAAATAGCCTAATACACAAAAGTAAATATTATGTTAAAATTGAAAATGAGTAAAATGAAAAAAATAACAAGTAACAAATTATGATAAAAAAGATGGGTTTGTAGCCAGCAATGGAAACCAAAAAGCGCGTTTCGGACTAACTGGGACTAATCAACTAGATATATGTGCATACCAACTCTGGATCATACTCCTTGAATAACACCTTCAAATCCTAATCTTTCCGATTACTGTTTATACTCTTACTAATTCTACCACTACGGGATTTGAATCGATAACTGCATCTCTGTGCTAATATGGTATGGCAACTCAAAGTGATGTACGTACGTACGAAGTTCTACGTTGTTACTGACTGACTGATACTAGCGCTAATGTTCACACCGCGACTCGAATCCAGTGCTTGTGTCTTCAAATGCTCAAGGCGTTATCTACCTAGCTTTTGAGTCCATATGGTCACTAACTTGTCCCGGTGAGGATATCAATACTGAAATGTAGGCATATCCAGGTGACAAATCTCAATTAGAACGAAGGGTACATTCAGGATTCCATCGCTAGCCACAATCCAACATTTCTTTGAAATCTTCGTAATCTGATCGCAATATCAAGGAGATCCACCCAGGATGCACACACCCGAAGAGATTAATCAACTGAAGTTCTTAACATCAAAAATGGAAAAATCCACACCATTACAACTGAATTGGAAGAAAATGTGGTTTCTGGGTTTTTTTTTCCTAATAATTTTATGAAAATGGGGGGATGGTATAATATATTATTTAGGAGTTTTGAGAATGATTAGGTGGAAAAAATTAAAAATAATACTCAACTTTACGTACATTTACGAAACTGTATATGTGATCGAATTTTTTTATTTTAATTTTTGTGGGGAATCGTTTAGGGCTTGAAAAAGAGAAATAATTACATAGAAGAATATTTATCAGTATAGGGTTGTGAAGATTGTCCCGGGCTTTCAATGGTGATTTAACATTGATCCATTCACGATATCAACTAAAAAAAAATATTTTATTACAAATAATTCATGTTTTGGAGCAATCCTATTTCCTAGTGTTACGTTAGAACAAAACCAAAAATCTACAGACAGTCAATCAATCATTATATACTCAACTATACGATATTCTATACAAATTCAAGTGGCAATAGATTTTACTGAGGGTTTTTGATTGAAATTCTTAAGTGTCAAATATTGCCTTGAGGTGTACTCTACTTATTTGGCAGTTTACTATGATTCCCTAGATCATTTCAACAGCAAGAAATTTACAACATCTCTGAATAGAAAGTTTCTTGTGAAAAGACATGATATACATTTTTTTACAAAGGTATAATCATTATTATGTATAAATTATCTAGTAAAGCCTTAGTGAGAGTTAGCTGAAAGCTACTGGAGGTCAAGCGGAAAATTGGTGTCAGACTGTTGGTCTAACTAATATCGAAAGACACACACTACCGAGTTGGGGTCTACATCATAACCACGATCAATGGCTGGAGACGTCTAATGAAATGGTTCAGTCACAGAGGTGCAGATGCATTCGTATACTCCGGATCCTGAGTTTCAGTACACATTTTCACTGTCCTTTCGAAACACATTCCCAATCAAAAGTCTGCCTCATTATCATAGCCACAATATTATTCCGACCTATTTGGCCTTTCATTTGGTTAACTTCATCTCATGGGGCTATAAATGTATGAAAATTTGATCCGATCCACATTAGTCTCAGGCTCTACGTTAGTTACGACCAACAGACTACTAAAGTGTATGTTAACTTCTTCCTATTTCAGATGAATATCGCACAATAAAACAAATCTATATCTCAGTAACGGAGGATAATAATATTATTGCAGTCAAATTAACAGTTCAATCAATATGTCAAAACAACGAAACAATAAATTTTACAAAAATTTACCGATAACTTTGAATACTTAGCAAACTAGCTATCCAATCCGCTTTTTCTTCGGGTGTTCGTAAAAATATTCGAATATGATTAACATTGATGCTAGATGATAAATTAGTGAAGGTGAATTTTTCAGAAGCACTATTTGATGAAGAAAGACTATTCAAAGTTGAATTTCCTTCGTTACAACCATTGATAGAAGTGGTAGTGGTAGTAATAGTAGTAGTAGTGGCAGTAGTTACCTCTTCATTGTAGTTTATTCTTCCAATGGATGATTTTTGTGAACCAGGATGACACATATAGTGATGATGATGACGATTATAGGAATGATTTAACGATTTCTGCAGTGTTGTGGGACTACATGAACTCGAATCAACATATTCTAATTCGAAAAGAAATGGAAATGCACTGATTCCTCCTGAGCCACTAGAGCTAGCTAAACTTGGATGACTTGAAATAGATCCATTAAAATTTGACGAGAAAAAACCTTTAGGAAGAGTCCAAAAGTTTTTAAAAAAAATAATAAGCAGACTTAGTGCTAAATTACAAAGTGCCTTCACAAAATGTGAAAGCCATAAATTAAATACATTATTCGTAAATCTTCCTTCAGTTGTCCTTTACACGCTTCCTGATTCTTCAAATTATGTTGTTACTATGATTGCTCTGTTTCCCTTCCTGCTCTTTTAAAATTCAGTCGTCTGATGACAGGTATGCCACATCCTATTGTCGTTACATACTACTTATATCATTCAGCATAAATAGCATGCACCACAGTAACATCTCAGATCATGGAGCTCGATCGCTTAAGCTACACGAAGAATAAATTCGTTGAAGACATCCCTTACTGAAGACGGTTTCCTGTCGACTAATTCTTACCACCAAACACCTCACTTCATATAATTTCAAATCAATCAGACTAGAAGTCGCGTTGCAAATTGGTTGACAGAACACCGTCGACACTAAGAGATTAGACATGAGGTCAACAACCACTCAGTAATCAATCTGCTGTGGATAGTTACAATGAAAGCTGATACATCTGCTATTCTGACGCTAGATATGGACTTCATAGCCGCTCTCTTCATCCCCAGACTTCGTTTGTAATTGAGCTCCCAACAGTAGAGAAAAGGGCAGAAGTAACAAAGCTTTATTTTAAGGTTCATTAATGTACAGAAAACAACAGTAGTTATAGGTTTATTGGTAACCTCTGATATATGGCAACTTCTAGAAGCATACTAAAATGTAGCCATAGAATTAGTATTTAACCAATCAGTCAAACTCGTCAAATTTCTAAACACATTTTTCGCGTATTCTGACTAGAGGAAACGTTTACAATTCTTAACTGCATTTTGAAGACCTTAACGAGGAATTCCAGTGGATTCCTAACAGAAGCTTGAATATATTTTGGAGATGATTTTCACCATAGATTGGAATCGACTAACCGAGCATACTTTCAGCATGAAGAGAACAGTGAGAAACATTTTATACTACATTGAGACTGTGTTCGATCATCGTTTTCTCCGAAGGATTGCTGACATCCAGTGGCAACATCATGCTAGTAATGCAGAGGTTCGGCATCGTGTGTTCGGGCACTGAGATGATAATGCAACTGGTGTCACCATCTTGAAACACCGACTTCGGTGGCTTGGACATGTTCTACGAGTGTCGTCCCAGAGAATTCCACGCCGTGCATTATTTGCCGACTCTTGGACTGGTTGGTAAAAGCGGAGAGGTGGTCAGTGTATGACATGGTGTCGTCGTATGAGAGAAAGCTACAAAGGACTAGCTTCTGTTGGTCCTTCACGACTCCCTGGTTGGGGTCTGAGAGATGGTACAACACAGTGGCTAGAAACGTTATCAGATATGGCTCAGAATAGAAGCCAGTGGCGATCATGCTGTAACCTTCTTTTACTTTCTTCATAACACGTGGTTGTATCTTCCTTAACTGAAAGATTTCTTCTGATTTTACCCTTCTGTTCCCCTACTATTACTATTATTATTACACTACCTTACACCAATTTCTTCGTTATTGTTTTTTTTAATATTTTTTACGTTCCCCACTTTTTTCTTTTTCTTCTTCTTAAATTCTCATTGTTTTGTGTGGCGCATATATATTTGGCGCACTCCTGTACCAATATATAGGTGTTCAAATAAATAAATAAACATTGAGACAAAGAATGTAATTTTTTACAAGAATTTACAAAGAAAAAGCAAGTAAAGATGTTAGGACTACCAAAAAAAGAAGATGAATGATTTTATTCTAGTAACCGACAATTCAAAAATCTCCATGTGATAAGAGCTGGAAAAGTTCATTTTTCTTTACAACAAAAAATTATAGTAATAGCGCGACTATTATACGATTAACATTAAACTCTTTGTCAACTTCCACATTTTAGTACAATATTCATCATTTAGTATAATTACACTAACCCTTGACCTTTAGAACATTTCATTGTGCCGGTTTTAGTCCAGGTAGTAAAGTTTACACACTCAGTTTTAAAACATTACACCAAGTTATGTCTTATCACTCAATAGAAAACAATAAAAGAACACAATCAAACTTTTGACGACTAATATCAATTTAACCTCATTTCTCCTTAATTTCCATAATTTACCGCTTTTTATGTTTATTTATTCATTGGATGATGATTTTTTACCTTGTATTGTCATCATAGTTTGACTATTTATTTCACTTTATTATTGATTAACTCAGCTAGGCTCAGATATTTCTGATTATTATCACAATCAAATGAGTTTTCTTTAAGATAGTTAATTTAGCAAAAACAAAGCTATTAAGGTTAATGAATACAAAAATATACTATCACTCTGCATCAAAGAACTGAGCTGTTAACTTATACTTTATGAAGAGCACAGTAACAAGGCAGTAACTAAGGTAGGCTTCATTGTTTTTGTCAGTTGTTTACACCAAGACAATAGATATTTTATTACAACCTAGGAATCCAGTATGGTAGAAAATTATATAGATTTCGATATTAGAATGATAAATGAAACTCATTGATTTTACAGTTACTTAACATGGAAGACAGGATGGTACTCAGATGGTTCGTGGAGTTCCGCAGCTGCGTTAAAACTAACATATCTTTCATTTAGCTCTAAAATCTACAAATGATATTAAATGTAATAAGGATAACCACATTAGAAACACAGAATCTATGTAAGCATTAGCATTACGAGCACGAAAATCACAAACACAAGTCTGTCAAATTAGCAAAAACAGAAATATCCACTAACGAAGAATAAAATTTGCGGCGACAACACCAATCGAACAATGAATGGTTATAGTGATCTGGTTACAAAATGAGGCATTTTGATAGGTTGAGTGATCTATATTTTTATTACCATGACAAAGGTGAATACAGCCAAAATACATCGGAAGTAATTTCTATATGAAGATAGAATCTAGTACTATACCAAGCTCACATAATTTATTTCGGCTTCCGGACAAATCAATTTAATTTTCTTGAGTTAAATCTTGGCCTTAACAGTTACTTGCTTATCAACCTTGATGTTTTTATACGAGCGTGTGTCCATCGCTTACCTTATTCATCAAAAGTCTTCAGCTTTTTTCATCTGGCAACAAATATTAAGCCACGCTTTGTCAAACTGAGTTGGCACGGTTACCACCTCCGGTTAGCTTTCCTGCTTATTATTTTTTGTCTGTCTGAATAAAAGAGTGCTTGAAATGAATTCATTCAACTTAGACCGTATATAGCTTTTTATTACCATCTTTGCACAAATGGAGTTAGCCTGGGTGTAATATATGAAGTTAAATAAAAGATTTACAGTCATGGCACTGTTGGGATATTCAGAAAAATATCCCAAAAATTATTCTGTTAAGCCTAACGCTATCCTATGACTTGAGATGGTGTCATTTCCTCATTGGTCAGTGTTTATTTCACGTGTCATTTTCCTACTGGTCAATATTGTACAATGCTATTTTCTATTTTATGGTACGATGTGGTATGCTTAATTGGTATATAAGCAGTGTGTATGAAATATAGCGATTCATATATCCGAGGCTGAGACTTGCGTTCTGGACTCAACTGGCTGGGCTAGACAGGGAAGCAGGACCAATCAGAACTCTAGGTCGTTCTAGGTGTTTGCGCGTCTTTGGTCCGATCAATAATTTGCTGTCCCATGATTTGCCGTCACAGTTATAGCAGGCACATACATTCATTCTTTCAAATTGGAGTCGGATTAACGGGCCACAAAACTGTCAAACCGATTCAGTAATCTTGTGTAAATTTAATCTTACTATAATGCTAGCTTTAAAGTTAACTACATCCATTTTCTCTGATATAAATAACACTAATGTTGTAGTGAAGCGAGGACTTGAAAAGATGAGGATCATCATGTACTAAGACTAAGCGAAATCGGTGAAAATTTGTGGCTCAAGTGGATGAGTTTGATGGAGTTTTGTTCTCTGAGCTGGATGGTTTGGTCGTATAGTTCTACCCGAAGTTTGTGATGTCATTAAGAATAACGACGAAAGCTTAATGTTCACCATTAAAAGATAACCAATTGCATAAATGTAGTCTTGATCGGCAAAATAATAAAAATTAGAACATTAAAATGAAATGTGAACAACCTCAGAGATGACCAGGTTTTGCAATTATTCAATAATCTGTTTGTAGTGGCTGGCCCTACGTTAAGCTCACATAGCTTATTCTAGCTTACAGACAGGCCAATTTATTTATTCTTCTTGAGTCACATTTTGACCTTTTTAATTATTCGCTTGTCAACCTGGACTTTTTTTATGTAAGCGTATGTGTGTACACTTCTTATTCTATTCACTTGCTTTTATCTGACTATAAATATCGATTAACGCTTGACTAAATCGAGTTGGCTTACACACCTCCGCTGCGCGTCATTTCCCTTCCTTCTCTTTCTCTTTACTTCCTTTGCTTCGTCCCTCTCATTGCCCGTCCAGACCAATGAGTGTACAAAATATACGTATTCTCGTATTTGACTTATTTTTAATTCCGTTATTCACTAACGGGACTCTAGTCGATGATAATATAGGAGGATTGGCGACTTATATATTTCGAGTGCTGTTAGAGGTATGCGGGCGGTTATCACTTCCCGGTCGCCCACACCGTGGAAGGGTTCTTCTGGAGGTACCTGAAAAGGAAATCGGATTAGAGGTGGTCCTAGTGACCTGAGAGCGTGACCGCAGTGCCCAACGGACAACTGCTTGAGGTCGGTCACACGCGACCTTTTTATGAGTAATTTTTGTGTTAGCTCCGTACTTGTTGAGACCTTACCGCCGGAGACGAGTATCCGTGAGATAAGGCGAAGTGTGCATTTTTAGAGTCGACCCTTTCTAACCCCACCCCTCCTTGTGAGAAGGCAGCGTCGCTGTCATGCTGGATGTCTGAAGGAAACACCTTACTGCTGTCACACCTCTGTACAGTCAGCAGTACGACTTCGCCTTCGGACCTTGGGTTTGTTGCTTTTAGTCTAAACGCTCTTCAACCGACCTGTCTGACATGATAGGACCTCGAGGAACAGTTGTTCCAGCCAGTATAGCTCGGTTGCTTCATCACGATAGGCAAGCCCGATCACTACGTCAAGGTAGCAGCAACGGTCGGGATGGTTGGAAGAAGGTTAGGGGCGGCCAAACCAAAACGTGGCATCAGTACTTGAAGTCACTAACTTCTAGTCTGAGCCATGTTGGTAGATGCAGACTACTTGGTTGGGGTCCGCGTGACTATCGTAACCAATGGTTGGAGACTCTTGGTGGCATGGCTCAGAATCGATCACAATGGTGTCGGTGTATACACTCTCTATCTTCCCTTAAACTAAGAGATTAAAATTGCTTCATATCATTCTTTCTACGAACTAATTCTTTCTTCCTGTACTATATCCTTATTGCAATCTTTCGCTTATATATTACCACCTCTGAATTAACTACTTTTATGAATCCGGTGTCCATCTTGTTGTGTTAATGAGGTATGGCAACTTGGACTGGTGTATATATGTGCCTGGTCCTACGTTGTAGCTGACTGACTTATATATTTCGACAGCAATCATTTAATAACAATCATTCATACGATCCAACTGTAGTCAGATTCAGGGCCATAAAATGTTACAATAAACAGTTTCATCAAGCTTTTGAATAAATGAGAAATATCTATACAAAACTACTTTTTCATGAGACAATAAAAAACCTGATTGAAATCATACACAAACCTTTCATTCACTAAAAATTTGAAAGTAGAAAATCAAAATGACGTCTTCATTATCAGATAACAAGAAACAAATAAATGGACATGGCAAAATCTTACCTGATGCTGATAGCCCAGTAGCTGACGGTTCTTCATGTGGGTTCATATTAGATGCAGTATTATTATTAATATTATGCGAATAACTATTATTTGAAGATGTCGCAGCTAGAACAGCAGCGCCAACTAAAGACGGTGTCATTGGACCACTATGACCAACATAACCAACTAAATTTGGTTGAACTATTGGAGGCAAATCAGTAACATGAATTAAATCAAGTGGTATACGATGTTTAATACGTAAAATAGACTGCTGCATGGAATTCGGATTTAATGGAGTTGAACGACGTTCTTGCCATTTACAAATTAATAAGAGACCAGTAAATAAATAGGCGATATATTCACTGGATGATTTTTTCGAATCAGTAGTACGTAAATGTACACGACTTTCTGAAATGAAAAAAATGGAAATTATAATAAAAAGGTTGTCACCGCACTAGAATTCCTACTACTTAAAATATTTCACTTTAGAAATAAAAAAGAAAAGATTTATACTGTGCACAAAAATAGAAAACAGTGGTAGTATACTTTGTTTAGTTAAACTGAAATTTAATGTATCAGTGTTTCCTATGATTAAGGGTTAACCTTAACTATAACCAGATTAAGGGTAAAAAAAGTAACCCATTTACTAATGTTTGTACTCGGATTTATGCTGTGTTTTCAGACTGAGGGCTACTGATTAAAGTACCCAAAAACCAAATAAGGTGAAATTCAAACTTGAAACTTAGCAGTTGGAAGATTATATATTTAAACCACAAACCAGCTTCCATCTGATGAAGAAATTAAGAAAAGACGATGGAAGTGTATAGGACATACATTGAGGAAGTCACCAAACTGTATCATGAGGTAAGTCCTAATTTAGGATCTTGAAGAGAAACGAAAAAGAGGAAGGCCAAAGAATACACTGCATCGGGAATCGGAAGCAGACATGAGAAGGATAAACGGCAATTGGAAAGGACTTTCCAGGACAGAGTTGGATGGAGAATGCTGGTGAGCGACCTGTGCTCCTACATGAGGAGTAACAGGTGTAAGTAAGCAATAGTGTAAACCATGTTATGTATTTGACTATATATGAGAAACATATTACAATTAGACTGGTGCAGCTGTTAGCAATAGGTACAACTCAAACAAGTAATCAATCTCATGCTAAGAATAATCATCCGCTTATTACCAATGAAGGAAAAATCCCAGAATCCTATTAAGAAGCTGTGACCAGTGGAGTCCAACTATGCTAAATGATAAATAGGTGTCACCGATGGTGAAGGATCGTATAGTTCCAGCATTGAGAACTAAATTCTAAACCATTAGGCGTTGAATAAGTGGTATTTATAAGAAAATAATATATCCTTATATATCAATGAATAAAAAATTGAAATTAAAAAGTAACCGAATAAAATTTAATATCAGATTAAACGGCACAGAGGAACAGATCAAAATACATTTAATATAACAAAACAATGGTTTCTCTGTAATGCTTAAACTTGTGATAATTTTAATCCATTTACCTATTTATTTACTCTGAAAAGGTAACTTACAAGAGGTCGCAAAACGTCGCAGATTCAATTTCCAACTTATTAGGATATTACGGAAATACATTTCATCATTACAAGCAATTCACCTCAAGTTCATTTCACTTGAAATTATCAAATCAAACCTCGATCATAATGCAAAATTAATGGTCCGAAAGTCAAACTTCCCACGAGCCCTGAAAGTCCTAAGTCTCATCCCTAATGGAGTCGTGCATAAGCGCTGCTGAAAAGTCACTTATGATGACGAAACAGATGTCTGGTGCATTTTAGTTTTCAATGGATATCTCACCTAGGTAAACCTGTAATGTTAAGAGTATAATTTTGTAGAATGAATGTGAATTGAGTCATACTGGAAGAAATATAACAGAATATTACCATTTTTAATTAAACTACTTACCCATCACAAAATCACCAAGTGTGTTAATATAATTACTTGACATAATTAACTTATCTTTACTACTTAAGAGTTTTTCAATTTCCTCGGCTTTATTTTGAACAGTATTGCTATATGTGAATGATAGATCAGCAGGATTAATCGATACTGGTGTTGTCGTTATCGCTGTTGTTGGCACAGAATGATGAGTATTATGATAATTGAATATATTACTAGACGAAGCATTACAATTTGTGTTGAACATAGAAGCACATGAGACATGACTCCCAATTTGATTCGAAAGACTAACAGGTGATGGTGGAGCCGTATAGTTCACAGGACTTGGTGGACAAGAAGCACCAGAAACAGCATTCAAATATAATGAACGATAACGGTCAGTCAACTGACCAGTTGATATCAATCGTACTAAATGCAAAGCAACCCATGGATGTTTAGCTAAATCTCGTTCTAGTGTTGCCCGTGTCTTCCTCAGCATACTAAGCACATCTTCTAAACGTGCCCGATCAACTTCATCATAAGCACACCGATGTAACGTCTGAGAGAAGATAACGCAGAAAATTGGTTGAAAGTCATTTCAGTTTTAAGAATAAAATTTGATGACAATCAGTTAGAATGGGAGTTGTGGAGACTGTTGAATGTTGTTGAGATCAAGAAAAGAAAACAATGGAAGATGGTCGTGCGATGTTGTGCGTAAATTCAAGCTAAAATTGTAAACTACTGGATCGCAGTTTATCAACTTAGAGGAAAGCGTGCTGGCACACGACGCTGAGGCTCCTGATTCGACCCCCTATAGAAAAGTTGTGAGTGCTCACTACTGAGGAGCCATATACTAAAACAAGACAGTCTTCCAGTGCTTTCAGTTTCTCAATCGTTATCGGATACTGATCTCAATAAAACTAAACAATGAATTATTGATAACAAATTTGCGAAAAAGCAGTTCGAACGAGGAACACCTTTCATTGGATTGATCTACTTGAGCAAAAGCATTTCTAGTCACATGTTATTGTTAGATTAAAAACACATTTCAAGTATCGGACAGAAATGTTACAGTCATTTGAATATTATTAAAACTATGTATTCATTGATTATTTCAAATTCGAGCTCATGAAATTTACAGTGTTTAACATGTTGATATTGTAAACACTATAGCAACTATCCTACAATCAATTTCGATTATGGTTCATTTTGGTTAAGCCCTTTTATTAACATACTTAACAGACAATGTTATTAGAATAATAATAATTCATGTATTTCTTTGTACCGTTATGATCACTAGATCACTAAAGACTCTAGCCAAAATGTTGATCGCTTCAATACTACTCGATGGTTCATCCTCCTCCGCAAGTGTATATGTACTCATGTCTTATTATTATCTTTTGCTTTGCCTTGCTGTGCCCTTATGCCATTTGACTAGAAATTTGCCTATGTATTTGCTCACACACATATATTCGCCTATCCGCTTCGAATTCGCTTGATGTGCTCATAGCATTGTGGTCTGCGCTATCCGCCAATAAGGTGTAGTGGCCGCTTCTCGTTGCCTTCTGATATCAAACACTATTGAGATTTATATTGTAACGGTTACCGAGGTGACTGCTTAACGAAGTAAAACCACTACAACACTCCTTGTAATTTGACAGATTTACAAATCTAGAGCACTCGACTAAATAATAAAAGGAGTGGATACACAACGAAAGCTATGCTTTCAAGGTTACTTTCTTCAATGTAATTGAGGGTTATCGATAAGATTATGAGAGAACTTGGAGTCCTAAAATTTTGTAGAGAAACAGATAAAATTAGACAAGCTAGATGATGAAAGAATTCAAATATATAATTTCGTAGAAATTCCATACAATTGGTTCCCATTACTTATGCGATATATATATCATCTCAAAGTTATTCATAAGTTTTATTCACTTTATCTTACCTCGATTAATTCATGAAAATAAAAAAAATGAAATATTGGCAGTAGAATTATTCGTGGAAGTAAGTATCTTGTAGCATTTACTAAATAGTTACAATTAATTGCATAAGATGTAGTATTCATTCCTAATAAATGAGGTGAACGATGGTGATGACGATTTAATGACATTTTCGATGTCAAATCAAATTTATCTGCTGAATCTACAGAAGTGGACATGGTATTTTTATTATGTACATTGAATGAATTATTGTCATTGTTTAAAGGGGTAACAGTTGTTGAAGTGGATCTTCTACGCGGTTTAGTAACAACTGTATCCCAGTGCTGACAGTGCAAACATGTAAATGAATGAAAGTCAGTCACTGGTGTTGTTGTTGCTGTTGTTGAAGATGGAAAGAAATTATATCCAGGGTGCTAAAAAAGAAACGAATGAAAACAATCTTTATTATAGATATAAATATGAGAAATCATATTATAATTCATTAACTATTTAATTTAGAGTGAAACTATTAAGTTCCCTAAACTGTTAAAAATAAACCTAAATAATTGAGATGGTTCTCATTCATCCAGCTCAGAGAACAAAACTCCACCAAAATCATACACCTGAGCTACAAATCTTCTCCACCATCTCATCTCTGTGTTTATTTGCATTTGGCAAACATATAACTCAATGTAATTTTGAATAGTACTTGAATTATTTATTTTAAAATGGATGTATTTAAGGATATTTCTTACAAATCTATGTATCGGTGTATATGATAGATATGTCGGAATTCTATAAATTAATGTTTATCAAACAAAACAGAATTTATTCTCAATGAAACAATTGGTTAAGTCTGAACTTTTATTAATTAGAAAATGTTTTATGGATACGCTACAAGTAATATAGTTAATCCAAATATACGGAAAAAATCCTGATGTTCAATGAAACACCTCAGCCAGTTCATACTAGTTAGAAATGTGTACCTATAGATGAAACTTCAAAGTCCAAATGGTAAGGTAAACAGGACAGAATACTGAATATTTAACCTTAAGGGTCTGAACTGATGTTGAAAATCTTGACAATTCATTTATCAAATGCAGATTCACGTGCTTAGCTTTGAGCCAAACTTTAAATGTGAGGGCTAGTGATACTAACCAGTTGCTTAAATCAGATTAGATAGAGAAGGCCTAGAACCTAGAACCTAATAACTGAAAGTAGAATGTATTAACCACTGAGCCGGCGCCTCCACATCATTAGCATTAATAAATACACTCTACAACAGGGTTATTTAACATTGATTATCATGAGGACCAGACATCATCCACTTTCATTACAACCTGGATAGCATAGCTCAATCCTGTGGCGCATCCAAGAGCCTTGTAGGCAATAGATAAAAATCCAACAAACCAAAAATGCTGTTGATGTGAACAAAGAAAAAAACCTTGACAAACTACGGAAGCTATTTTTGGGGACGTTATTTCATTTAATTCAAAGCTCGCAAAACAGTAACATTTATTTTTGTCCCTAGTTTATTCTATAGAGCATAAGCGTCACTGCCATAGCCTTTTCTGTTCAAAGCTATTGTAAATTAAATGTCATCTATTGTAATCTATTTTCTACCCTAATCCCCAGTTTTGGACGTAATTGTTTTCCTAATTGTTGAACGTTTTGGTCTGGTTAGTCATCTATTTATTAATGTACCATTATACATTAATCTGAACCAGGAAACAGATTGGAGTAGACCATAAATCGAGTAATGTTTCGGTTGACTTCCCTCTCTCTCTCTCTCGCGTGCTTGTCGGACAATCAGGTGACAGTTTTCGTCTCTCTACCCCAAGCAGTTAGTCTCACTTCGAACTCACGCATACTAGCCTCAAGGTTAAGCCAGTCAACCTATCGCGTCAAGGTCTTAGTGTAGATTTAGACAAGTTATCGTCTGCATAGTAGTCGATGAACAGATCAAGGACGTAACAAGTTTGTTTCAATTTTGTGAACTGCGTCTACAGTGCAAGCCAAACATTTACTTGTCAAGCAAAGAAAGAGTATACTGCACAACATTACGCTTTTTATTTCTTACGGCTGTGAAACAGTCTCCGAAATTCAGAGTATGTGCAGGTTGTTAATATTTCACCATGTCTTCAAATTATTTCTCCTACAAGATGAAAACACCGAGTGAATAAAACTTATAAACTAAGGTTGATATGAAATGTGTTATCCACTCTCTGCCATCATCTACGCAGATGCGGTATCCTTACTTATTCTTCCTGAGCTTTATGATCTAACTTTCCACCGTAATTTATATGATCATTTCAATATCATTGATTTCAGTTTTGTCACGTTTCGCACTTTTGTGCCAGGTTCGATGTTGACTGACTGATTTTACTCACACACACCAGCATACACATCGTACATAAATCAACACTTTCTTCAAAAAGACGTAAAACAAACTTACTTTGTTATTCAACGAAGCTGTGTGCACAATAGTTCGACTTAATTGACATAATTCCTGTGCATAACCTTCATGTTCAATTAAATTCCAAACACGATCTCTTGAGTTAGAATCTAGTACAATATTAGCATATCGACTGAATGCATGCAATGAATCATCTTCAGCCAATTCAATTAAACATATACCAACTAGACGTCTAGGATAAGTTTTATTCTTATTATTATTACTACTACCACTACCACTATTATCATGATTGTTGATCGATGAATCTGGTTTATTATGGTGAGGATAACGATCGTCATGATCATCATTTGAGAATGTATGATCAGTTGAAGTGGGTGAATGAAATGTTGATCCTGATGAATTATTACTGATATTTCCATTAGTGCACTCGTTATTGTGTTTAATATTGTTCTTCATTTCATTTCTATTATCATCACTACATAATTGTTTTTCTGGTATTGATTCAAGTGTAGTAAGTGTTTCAGACAATGAATCCATTAACGTCGTTTTATCATTTCCGTTAGTAATAAGAATACTATTATTAGAAGTATTCAGTGGTTTAACAATATTCAACATTTCCGATGACGGCGTTGTTGATGATGTTAACAATGTACAATTATTCTTAGATTTTACAATATTTGGTGAATAATTATCTTCATCTTCTGCTTCAATAGTATCCAATAAAATACGCATATTATTATACACATCTAATATGTTACCAAATAATACTTGTGTATTATCTTCATTGGTATGTGTACACATTGTTGTTTGTTGTTCATAAGATGTTCCTGTTGTTGATGACGATGGATTCACTGATAATATCGGTTCACGAAATACACGTATCAATAAATTCATTTGTTCTAAGCACGTATGCAGAAAACTACATAATTCATCAACACACCTGAAAAAAGGAAATTTAAAAATCACTAAACAAATAATAAAAGATATTCATATATTTATGGATATATTATTTATAATTTTATTTGAACACATAGATATTGGTACAAGGAGGCACCAAATACATATGCGCCACACAAATCTCATTTAATTTGTGTGAGGGTTGTGATACTGCCCAGGTGCCCAAACTGGAGCAGGTGGTTTTCTTAGGGGACCACACCCGGAGCCTTCGACCTGAAGGTCTGATCCACAAGGCAGTGGAACAACGTGAGGAGATGCAGTCCCATGATAGCCGGTGACCAACGATTAGTTCATACGCCATTTGTTCACTCAGGATATTGGAGCTCATATGCACCATTGGTTTGAAATCAGGGTTTTCCAACTCACCTAGGTGGACTCACCATGTCCACCAACCCGGTTAAAGCGCCGGACGTTCGCTTTTCGTCCTCTCAATTTTATAAACAACACCCCCGCCATGAGAAGGCAGTGAGTAGAACTTCCCTGGCAGAGGCTATATACGCGTGGCCATGTGAGAGCATTTCGAGAGGGAGAGCGGACTCTCCTCACCCTCGGTCACACCAGGGCATTTGGGGGCATTTATTGATATAACGAATTATGTAACTAAGTAACGATGCGCATACACGGTTTCAAGTTATATTTCTGTATAAAATCCAGCAGTGTTTGTTATAAACCACGGAAACTGAAAGCGATGTATCAAAATAATCCCAAAATATGTGTGCTATAACCTCGAAAAAATAAACCGATTTTGTATTATTTAATCTTGTCTCTGAGTGTGATTACGTTACTTATTGTAGCAAGAGATAATTATCAGGTTCATTTATTCCGCCTGTAAGAGAAATAACCTAATTTATTAATAACGCATTATCCAAATAAATAACGACTGAAATTTTGATGCCTACTGGTCTTCAAGCTTGTTCCAACACAAAGTATAATCAGAAGAATAGGTTAGAAAGCTTTATTGTTAGGCAATTGATCATATAACTCAAAGAATGTAGCGTAATTTCCTGACCGTAACACATCAACATAAATAGGAAACTACAATGTGTGTAACAGATTAGCTGTAAATGTAACTGAACTAAATAATGGGTTTATAATTAACTAACAATAACTTGAGAAAGGTAAAACTGACAACAGTAATTTATGCGCTAAACTAAAGTTTACAATTAAGGGAATATAATGATACAATAATACAAATATTTAGTAACTGCATAATAAATATATAAACAATAATTTTTCATCAGATAGTTTCAAAAGTTACAGCTTTATCAATATTGGCTCCGTTAGAATAGTGTGTTGTAAAAACAACCCTCAATAACCACTAAACTTTATCATGAAATAGCTTTTAAATTAAATCTTTTCGTGAGAACGAACTGTATTTTACACAGTCGTTACAATGAAAGCTGAATTTGAAAAAGCAACTTTAAAATTGAAAAATGTAATACCTCAAAACTGATTTAGTCATTATATCACAAAACGTTTGTTTTATAAAATAATTAATTGAAACAGAACAGAACCTTATAATAAGTCAACTAAAACATTCAATGTTTTATACCTATTTCTGAAAATGAACGAATAATGATGTAATCACGAAAAAAAATACTCTTAAACAATTAATTACCAACTGACAGGTTTACTCCTGAGATTTTTAAGGATGGTGGTCCAGTATTAGCAGCAAGATTAACTGAGGTCTTAGGTAGAATTTGGGAACTGGACGTAATCCCATCTGACTGGTCTCAATCACTGATTGTGCCAGTTTTTAAGAAAGGACAAAAGTCCTCTTGTGACAATCACAGAGGAATCAGTTTGACTAATATAGTGTCTAAAATATTAGCCTCAATAATACTTCGACGCCTAACTAAAGCTCGTGAAGAGCAGACTAGAGAAAACCAGGCTGGTTTTCGACCTGGACGTGGTTGTATAGATCAGATATTCACACTACGTCAGGTTCTAGAACAGAGACACACATTCAGACGCCCCACAATGGTAGTATTTCTCGACCTTAAGGCGGCATTCGACTCCGTTGATCGTGAGGTTCTATGGCAGTGTTTGTCACTGAAAGGAGTACCAAAGAAGTACATTAACCTTATAAAGGCTCTCTACTCGAACACAACTGGTAGAGTGAGAGCTTATGGCGAACTGTCATCAGAATTGATCACCTCAAGTGGTGTTCGTCAGGGCTGTCCACTCTCCCCATTCTTGTTCAACTTTGTCATTGACGTACTTTTAGAGATAACACTCTCCTCATCTAAATTTACAGGGGTTGAACTTCTACCAGGAGGTTCACTTGTTGACTTAGAATATGCAGATGACATAGTTTTATTTGGTGAAGACGCTGACAAAATGCAGAGTCTTCTGACCACTCTAAGCAACAATGCAAGCATGTTCGGGATGCGATTCTCTCCCTCGAAATGCAAAATGTTGCTTCAGGATTGGGTTACATCGACACCCGAACTAGTGATAGGGAGTGAAGTAGTTGAGTGTGTCGACCGCTTCACTTATCTTGGAAGTCTCATCAGCCCTTGTGGTCTGGTGTGTGACGAAATCTCAGCACGGATACAGAAGGCTCGACTAGCTTTTGCCAACTTGCGTCATTTATGGCGTAGGCGAGATATCCGTCTATCAACCAAAGGACGTGTTTACTGCGCAGCAGTTCGTTCCGTCCTTCTTTATGGCAGTGAAACATGGCCGGTAAGAGTAGAGGATATCCGTAGGTTACTAGTATTCGATCATAGGTGTCTTCGAAACATTGCTCGTATATCATGGGACCATCGAGTAAGTAACACAGTTGTTAGGAAACGGGTACTAGGTAAGCATGGCAAATCGATTGATGAAGTAGTGAAACTTCATCAGTTGAGATGGCTGGGACACGTGTTACGTATGGCCAACGACCGACTGCCTCGACGTGCTATGTTCAGTGGTATAGGAGTAGGTTGGAAGAAAGCTAGGGGCGGCCAAACCAAAACATGGCTCAAGTCCATGAAGTCACTGACAAGTGAACTGAGTCATGTTGGTAGGTGTAGACTACCTGGTTGGGGACCGCGAGATGATAGCAACCGATGGTTAGAGACCCTGAATGACATGGCTCAAAATCGTTCGCAATGGCGCAGGTGCATCCACTCTCTGTGTTCTCCCAAACTCTAATCTTCTGAATTCTTCATGTCCCTTTTTCCCTCTTTCCAAATTTCTTTCACTGGATTATACTCTTTAAATAACATCTCCAAACCCTAATCTTCCCGATTACTGCTTATACTCTTGCTACCTCTACCACTACGGGATTTGAATCGACCACTGCATCTCTGTGCTAATGTGGTGTGGCAACTCGAACTGATGTACGTACGTACGAAGTTCTACGTTGTTACTGACTGACTGACTGACTGACTGACTGACTGACTGACTGACTGACTGACTGACTGACTGACTGACTGACTGACTGAATTGATTTTATAAAAACATATGGCTAAAGAGATATTTTAACAACTACAATTCCAAGTTAAATTTAGCAATTAATTAGCTAGTGAGAATAAACTGAAACCCTTCCTATTGTCATATATGAAGATTTATGATGTATACACATGAAACTGTTAGATTATTCAAATGAAGAGTAAGACAAAATATGCATAACAATTGATCAAAGCAATATCTGGGAACATTTTGTTTACAAATTTTCATTGAATCCAATATATCAATAATTAATTATCCACTTCAGGAGTTACACTTTTTGAGTTAATAACATTATCCAAATGTGCAAACTGAAGTAGATTGAGTAGTTTATTATAGTTAAAAGTTAATATTTAAGCCATCAACTTCTATTTGAGAACAGGAAATATATGATTTATGTGCACAGTGTAGAAGAAAATGTACAGACTAATTAACTTAATTAGATTCTTTGATAGTAAGCTGTTACTTGATTCTGAAGCATGGATATTCCAAGTTTAATTTAAACAACAGGTACTTAACTTATTATTTTAAACAGCTGACTTCTGACAAAAAAGAACAGCGAAACTATTTGCAACAATTGTTGCATAATTTAAACGCTAGTGCATTATTCACATTTAAAATATTTAGTTTTTGCAATCCATACAACCTTTCTCATTATTTAAAAGGCAAGGTTTATAAAGCTCGTACGAATACATAATTGTTCAAATGATGTAACTCATATCTTGATGTAAATAATGGACACCATTTGTAATGACATGTCCATCTTGACTATAATAACCTTTAACCGAAACATTTAATTACTTGATTAGCAAACATCGTTTCACAAGTCTGACTACAAATCAACTGAATCTGTTTGGACAATCAGATAATGTTGATCTGCATCAAATAAATTAAACACATCGTTTTTTTTTAAAAAAAACTGAGCTGTATGTAATCGATAAAGTATACAACATTAGTCCGGACACTTGTAGAGATTGTTGAATCCTATGGCTTACATTACGAATTGACTATTGACAATCAGGAAGGACTGAACAGTTACTTCGCTCTAGTACGGAAATCCTCGAGTGTATATTCATGACCCCACCGTGGACAGAACTCAGGGTCCTTAGATCTAGCAATGAGCAAATAACGTAAAGACCGCTAAGCTAACATCCATTGGTTAACACTTTTAACCTCAATCAATTCATAACATTTAGCAAATATCTTCTGATGTCATTGGTTGATAAATGGCTCTTATTGGATACGGTTGGTCCGGATAGGCAAGGCCAGTACCAAGACTTGAAGGTTCTATGTTCAATCACCGGAGGGATTGTGGATTGGTATCGTTGAAGAATCTCTCAAGGAGGAAAAACAACTGTCAAATGCTTTCTGGTTATCGACTGGAGGGAACTTCAAAACAGAAATGACTTTATAAGATAGAACGAATGACCAATTCATCGAATACTAAATAAAAGGAGTGGATATACAACGAAAGCTATGCTTTCAAGGTTACTTTCTTCAATGTAATTGAGGGTTATCGATAAGATTATGAGAGAACTTGGAGTCCTAAAATTTTGTAGAGAAACAGATAAAATTAGACAAGTTAGATGATGAAAGAATTCGAATATATAATTTCGTAGAAATTCCATACAATTGGTTCCCATTACTTATGTGAACAAAACCAAAACATTGGTCTGAATCCATCACATACATATATTCGACTATCCGCTTCAAATTCGCTTGATGTGCTCATAGCTTTGTGGCCTGCGCTATCCGCCAATAAACTGTAGTGGCTGCTTCTTGTTGCCTTCTGATATCAAACACTATTGAGATTTATATTATGGCGGTTACCAAGGCGACTGATTGACAAAGCAAAGCCACTATGAACCAACAAAGACACATATATACACTAAAATTTACCTCAGATGTTAATATTAACTGACAAGTTATCATTATCATCATCATCGTCAATACTAGTAGTAGCAGTGAATCTACTACTACAATAGGTTAAATATGTTGAACTGATTAATATGATATTAAACTTAATACGTTTTTACTAGTGTTTAATGAATAACTTGTGTTATCAATGCGTTGATAACGATAATAATGACACTAAAATATTATGGTACAATTCGTTCAAAAGTGTGTGCAGATAATAAACAATAATAATGGTCAATGAAAACATTTTATACGTAATGATTATTATTTTAAATTAAATAAACATTCATTTTTATTAAAGTTTTCAGTTCATAACTGACGAAATCCAGAAGGATGTAACTAACTTAAGAAGTAAATAAATAATACAAGCTGTAATCTTCAAAAAATTTAAATGGTTTTCAATCAACTAATTAGTGGGATAGAAAAGAACTTGAACCGATATTTCATCAAATCAAACTATTTCAAATTATCATAAATAAACAGACAAACACTTAGTTGTACAAAACACAGAAGTTAGTGCATATATGAATCAGTTCAAGTTGCCATACAACATAAGCACAACAAGATGAGACTATGAAGACAAATGACGTAGTAGTGGTAGATAGAAACAGTGAGTATCAATGTCCGTGGAAGTCGAAAACACTTAACAAAAAAAATGTGATTCAAGCAGAAAGAGCGAATCCGTAAACTAAAAGACATGAAGTATTTCAAGACAAATAGTGAGTGCATCTGTGGCATTGCAACCGATTCTAAACGATATTACCTAACATCTTGAAACACAGGTGATGAAAATTGCACGAAATTCCAATCAGGTAGTCTGGATCTACTTACAAAACTCAGTCCAAAAATCAATGAATTCATGGACTAATGTTAGATCTTATTTTGACAGTAAAAAATGCAAACAGAAAATAAGCGAAACTAGGACAATCAGATGAACTGATAGAAAGAAATGATAGTAAGGCTGTTACTAGTTTACCAAGTACAGATTTATGTACACGAGGGTAATGGCACTACCTGAGTGTTCAAACTGTAATAATTAGAGTGAGAGTTCGAACTTAGGACCTGCAGCCCGAAAGTGGAGTGAAAAAAACCGTTACTATGAAAGAAAAATAAATGAGAAATAGGTTCATTCGGGTTTTTGATTGAGCATCAAAAAGAATTTTTGCAGTTTATCAAACATTTTATGTTTGGGTATTTAATAACTCCTAATGGGAACAACATATGTTTAATTTATGAACAATTACAATGGACAAACAGTCAGTTAGGTTTTCAGACACTAAGTCCTAAGTTCAAACCCCTCTCCACCTACTTTGGTTTGGAAAGTGGATAATATCACTAGCTCTTATATTTGTAGCCTAAACCCAAGTACTCGGTGAGTTAATTTATTTTTTATTGTTTATTGCACATACAGTGAGTAAAACTAAGTAATTATTTTCCGTCAAATCCAAACTAATCCTAACATACTTGATATTGAGAGAAATCTCAAAATTTATTTTGGCTCTATAAACTGCATTATAATGGGTTCTTTTTAACTAAGGCCAAATTGTGTCGAAAATCACTGTCAATATCAATCTAACTCCTAAATGAGGCTAAAATATAAGTGTATCAATAGCCTACTCATAGAATAGAATAAAATAAGGAATATCAAGTCAATCATTAATACAACCAAAAGGATAAACTGAATAAAATGGAGACATTAAAGTCTACTTCTGTTACACTGTTATTATAATTTGAGTCGTAAAATAATTCCAGAAAGGAAATAAGAAAATAATATAATAAATAAGAATGATTCAAATTCAACTTACTTATCATAGTCTTGAGGAAAAAGATTAGCTGTTGCTAAACGATGTTCAAACATTTTACGACGCGGTTTAACACGATCTCGATACAAGATAAACAATTTCTAAATTACAGAAAATGAGAAATAGTAATAAATTAATGTTTTAGTTTACTGGAAATTATGTTGTTTTTTTCAAATCTCATCAACTTATGCTAGAAACAGTCTTGTAATGAGCCATTCTCAGTAACATTTCAAAGTACAAAGTGATAATGACTCAAATTTCGCTTCTGAAGTATATTATACTCAAATCCATATATATATATATATATATATATATATATATCTTTTCAACTATTCAGACACGGATTAAGAGAATTTTAAACGCTATACAGTCGAAATGCAGAGGAGTTACATACAATATATCACTAAATTCATGTTTGCAGAAAATTTATTTTAAAATAACTAAAAGTTATTTATTGAGGCATCATTCCCTCATTGGACCACCTTCATTCTGTAAAATAATCAAATCTTCATGTTGTCTTTATCGCGTAATGAGTAAATATAGTTGACAAACCTAAAACACACACAAATCACCTTAAATGTGTACATAATTTAGTTATTTACCAACTCTTGAATAAAATTGCTCAGGTATCTAAAGAGTGAATGATGCATTACTGTATCACGTTCCGTACTGAACTACCAAATAAAGTATGAACTAGTGAACGAATAGACTCGTAAAATTGTGCTAACTTGAGTAAACAAAACGCTTGTGCCCAAGACATTTTAACTGGTTAAGTTTCGGTAAAAAAAAACCTTGGACTTCTAACAAAATCAGAAAGTTAAAATGCAAAACAAGTTTTACTTTAAAATCTAGGACACTTACACAAATAAAATGTTATGCTTTAACAATTACCAATGTCTTTGATACACAGTTTCGTTAAAAAAGGTTAACATAAGTGATAATTTAGATTTCTATTGATTAGGTTATGAAAGAACATAAATACAACCGTTTTTAAAATTTACTAAAAATTTATTCAGGGCACTAATTAGGTGAAAGTTCTTTGATGCATTTTTCTAGCTTTATTGGACATCTGAAGTATTTCTGGTCAATGTGAAGTGTTTTAATTATAAAGAGTGTAATGAAGTTAGTAATTTTATCAAATGTAATTAAAAACTAGTATTACGCTTTCAAAGAAAAAAATTTAACTATGAATAGTGTTGAAATACGCACTACGTAGTTTATAAAAATAATTCGTTTATAGTAAGTAGGTAGATAGGTTGTATGATATTCATAGTTGCGTGGTTTATTTACAAAAATAGATTTTAATGCAAGGGATTCAAAGGAACATTCATATGCCCGAAATAAACACTACTTAACTGAATAGAGGTGAATCAACAGGAAATTTGGCTATTACTCAGATAAATTTAAATTAAACAAAAGTACATCCCTGGATGACCTGAAAACTACATACGACTAAATAAATTGGACCAAAGTCTGAAATTTCAAAACAACAATGAGCGTAGGTATGGAAAAAACTAAATCATCCTACAAGTATACCAAAGAGTAGCTAATATTAATGAATTACGAGTTCAGTTATTTGTTGAGAAAAAATAACCTTGTTTACATTTTAAGATACACATATAACGTTGGTAGATGATCATGATTTGTTGTATTAGATCGTAATTTAAAGTTTCCCACAATAATTTCAGTTACTGTGACCAAATGATATTGTTAGTTTTTATGCCATCACCATAGCTTATAAAACTAGGATACCACGTTAAATTAGTAAACTGAATTTTAAAAAAAAACTATTTTAATTCAGCTAAACTCGATCAGATTATGATTGAACTGAAAGCCATATATGTGAAAATCAAAATAACAGCATACTTCTATTTGTATCAATACTACACCTTATTAAGGAGTAGCGAACCATATGCCTGACTAGACTGTATAATATTAGTACAGAATAAGTAACACGTTAATTTGACTAAACAGCTCGCTAGACACTGGAAATTAGATTTGATCGATTTAGAATTACTTTTGATCCCAGTCACCGACATTTAGGCAGTAAGCTGAGATGAAGGTTAACCACTAAAAAAGTGGTATTTATGGAATCAAACGTCTTTTCTGCGTATAGTTTAAAAGTTTGAAAATTGATTTCGGATATATACCAGTTGATTTTTCCCAAAACACAAAGTATTTTCCTAAAAAATGAATAACCTAGCTACCTAATGAGAGGATAAACATATAGAAAACCAAATAGATAGGTAAAATGAAATAGCGAAGGAAAGAATAAGTGGGACAAATATAAGTATGATACAAAAATTGTTAAACGGTGAATAAAAATAAGAAAACAGCATCTGAAGCTAAAATCTTTGATGAATTTAACTGGTGACTCTATAATACTGTAGAAATTAACCAAGAAGACTATAATTCTGCAGTTAAAGCATAAGTAATTAAATTCATCAATTAAACACTATAATTTTGGAACAAACATCGTTAGGTTTATCACATTTCTCTCCTCTTGACCAGTTCATAATCTTAAAAGTGGGCGATGATTTTGACTAAGGCATACCGGTTAAACGAGATTACGGACATAAATAAATAAAATTCGATTAGCATTAACGTACTGGAGAAATGCGGAAAAAAATACTTCAAAAGTTACCCATGTATAAAAATTCAATTATAATGATGATAATGTTAAATAATAACAATACACAAATCACCTCGACAGTTGATGCACGAATAACATTTTCAGTCAGAGCTTTATCTTCGTAGCAAATAGCCGCCTAAAACGGAAATAAGCAAATACAGAAAGCATTTATACGGACTAAAAGATACCTGATTTCAGCAAACCTACTAATGATATTCAATGTATCTCAGGTTCAATAGAAATATCTGTCTGCCAAAGTGAATAAACAGAGCAATCGTACTCTTTTAAACATAACAGTAGTTTGTTTATGTCTTATCAAAGGTATCCAAGCACTTCATGTGTATGGCAGAGCTACTGATATTAAACTTAGGGTTTTAGGTAAATCCGTAAACAAGGTAGTGAACCTATAATTATCGAGGTAAATGAGACACGTTTAATGGTGCTCAGCCACAGCGTACGCCGATACTCTATACTGGGCTAGTATAAAGGTTGGAAGGAGGCTAGAAGTGATAAAACTAGGATTGTGAATTAAAAGTTTGTTAGCCTGATTCACGTGCGAAAATGTAGATTCCTAGTTTATGTCCACGCGGTAACCGTAATCAATTCTCGAAGACCTTGGGTGACGGCTTAAAACCACATGTAGTGATATAAGTATTCGTTCCTGATTTTTCGTGCTTGGCGTTATTTAATACTTATCATTTTTCAATATTATCAGTTCGTTTTAAACTACAACTTGCATACTTACTCTTCCTCTTACCATCGATACGACTATCGCTATGACTGTGTTTTCCATTTTGTTGATTCTATGTTGTGCAGATGTGAAGTGTGGTCATTGAACTGACAGATATTTATGACAGACCCTGGGTTATATATAACTAACTAGCAGAAAATCTTTAGGGACCATATGTATTTAGAAAAAAGATGTGGCAGAAACATGAATCTACTGAAAAATTTGGATCTTTACCAATCGCCATGGGGCTGGAATCATATATTCAACAAACATGTGTAGATAACTAACGGCAACCACGTGTACACTTATGTACACAATGCTACAAGCTGAGTTAAATTCGTGGGGGTAACGATACATACTGTCAGGTTATCCAAGTCCAGACAAGAGAAATGTAGAACCACAACCCATCGGTTAGAAACCAAATCCTTGTGAGAGTGAACCATAGTTCCATACAGTTGGAAAATTCTATTATGCGACTAAAGTGTTGGCTTGATTATTAATAAATGTCTAACTGTTATTAGCACAAAATGAACAATTTTAAGCAATTATGGAGTCTGTACTGAGAAGTAGTATCAACAAATTATAAATATTATAATGAATTAATCTAATGAATCATCTACCTGCAAAAAATTTCCGATCACATGTTCAGCTATAGCAACGATATAAATGCATACATTAAAGTTAAAACGTCCACTGAATTCCTGTAGATAGATGAAATTGGAATAATCAGAATTATTGATTAAATAACTTTTATCATTATAATAATCAATAGCAGCAACTTCGATATCCAATATAAACCACTAAGACAAACACTATCATTACTCCGTCTATAACACTAGTTTTTGAGTTCAACTTTTATCCGGATAAACACGGGCGAAGGAACCTCGTTTTACAGATCGACAACTGGGAGATAAAACATATTAAAAGATTCCACCACATAGTGCGTTAACTCTGAATTATGCCAGTAACATTTTATATTACTAAAATGTTATGAATACAATTTTAAATAGCTATGACAAAATTTGGGGGGCCTCAAATGCCCTGGTGCGACCGAGGGTGAGGAGAGTCCGCTCTCCCTCTCGAAATGCTCTCACATGGCCACGCGTATATAGCCTCTGTCAGGGAAGTTCTACTCACTGCCTTCTCATGGCGGGGGTGTTGTTTATAAAATTGAGAGGACGAAAAGCGAACGTCCGGCGATTTAACCGGGTTGGTGGACATGGTGAGTCCACCTAGGTGAGTTGGAAAACCCTGATTTCAAACCAATGGTGCACATGGGCTCCAGTATCCTGCGGAAACAAATGGCGTCACCAGCTATCATGGGACTGCATCTCCTTACGTTGTTCCACTGCCTTGTGGATTAGACCTTCAGGTCGAAGGCTCCGGGTGTGGTCCCCTAAGAAAACCACCTGCTCCAGTTTGGGCACCCGGGCAGTATCACAACCCTCACACAAATTAAATGAGATTTGTGTGGCGCATATGTATCTGGTGCCCCCTTGTACCAGTATTTGTGTTCAAACAATAATAATAATAATATGACAAAATAATTTATCACTTAGTGTTATTACGATTTGATATGTTAAAACAAAAACTTAAGGTTTTTAGATTTGGTGTTTTGGGTCATTTACTACAGAAATAATAGTGACCATTAAGAGCAAGAAATAAACCAAATTCAGGATTTGGTAAATTTGGTTTTGTTTACTCGTCTGTAAATCATATTGTTTGAGTTAGGACTAGAGGCATGATGAGGTTTCCGAAGCCAAACAAGGTAAGGAGGGGTCCCAGTCTGAGGCTCCCTGGTTTTAAGTCGACTGCTTTTTAACTACTATGCCAACGCTTCAAAATAGAGAACCATTCGTCCCTTAGTATCATCTCTGGGTTGGCCTACAGCTAAAAAGTTCCGAGGTTACCACTTTCCTCTCCAAAGTCATACACAACTGTCGGACCATAACGATAGTTATCAATTAAGTAACTCAATTATCAGGTTAATTCTATATGACTAAATATAAACAGGAAACGAAAACATGGAATACTTAAAAGGAAAAGTTATTTACAGCACACTTTAGATAATAGTTGTGACCGTTACTATTATTTTTATTGTCGCAATTATTATTATTACTAATGCTATTATTACTATTATTATTATTGTTCGTAATGATGGCAGTGACAAATAAAATAGCGAGTAACAGATAAATATCCGAATGCCAAAGTTTGATAGTTATTTAATTAGATTAAAATAGTTTGATATCATCCCTCCTCTTGATTTCACTTCTCTAGGGTCTAAACAACCACATGATTCCAGTAATAAGACGTTTGAATATGAAATGTATGTACATATAAAAATACAAATCACGTGAATTATTAACATATGTCAATACATGCGTATAAACAATAGGAAACAAAACAAGTAACCAAACAGATAAGCTACTTATAGACAGCTGTAAGATCAATTCGAAAATATCTATGGTAAATGCTTATAGAATCTCTTTGCCCAGTTAATCAATCATAACGAGAACCACAAGAACTAGTTGGTATGCTTTTAAAACTTAGTAAGTTGTATCAAAGATACGATATATGAATCGTTAATGAAAGCCAAGTATACTCTGAATCCACAAGCCTTATGCTGCTAAACTATGATAGAAAAACAGGCATCAGAAGCTGGAGGTGCAATTTACAGGTATACGAAAGTAAATGTGTGCAGGTATATAAACATGCAAATGTTGTAGAGTCACTACGTGAGCATTACTGAAACTAGGTAGTTAGTCGGGTATTGAGATTGTGAACCTAAGTTGAAACAAATACTAAGTTACACCTATACTGTTACTTGGTGTATGAGTGGACAACACAAAAGGTTAGTTGTTGATAATTGGCCAATCCTTTCAATAGTGTAACTTCGTAAACGGTGGTGACTCAAACCTGTATACTCTTGTCTTACACTACATATGCTTTTCATCTGTTCGAGAAATGCATGAAAAAATTAAACCAAACAAATTACAACCCAAAAGTTAATAAACAGAGTTGTTGTTTAGTTTATCCTTGATTCATATTTTCTTTTATATTGTATTACTTAAGATGAATACAATCAAATCAGTTACAGCTGGAATCCAAGAGTATATATATATTATATAACTGTAGAATCAAAATTAATAGGACTAAATAAAAAGAAATATATGCACACATACTTTTAGGGCAGTAAATATTTTATCAAATGGTAAGTTTAACATTTTTTTGCGTCCTTTTTCAGCTAAATTGCGGTAACTTTCCATATTACTATCGGATGGCATTAACTTATCCGGAATGCCTGGCAAACCATCCACTAAACGAGTATCTACTTCGCTTATAGACTGAGGAGGATCGGGTAAGACAATAGTGGCCAACAACTGAATTAAGTGCTGACCTAAACTCTCGCGTGCTCCAGCATCCAGTCTTCGAACAACTGAAGATGTGATATTTTCAAAACCGGTACCGCCTGAAATGCTTGACGATGCTGTATCAGCGGTGTCATCGCCGAATGACGGATTTGGATTGTTCAAAACATTTGAACCTGGAGGAAAAAACCACAATATATATATATATATATATATAAAGTATAAGCAGTAATCGGAAACATTAGGGCTTGAAGATGTTATTCAAGGAGTATAATCCAGTGAAATAAATTTGGAAAGAGAAAAAAAGAATACAAAGAATTCAGAAGATTAGAATTTGGGAGAACATAAAGAGTGGATGCACTTGCGCCATTACAAACGATTTTGAGCCATGTCATTCAGGGTCTCTAACCATCGGTTCCTATCATCTCGCAGTCCCCAACCAGGTAGTCTACACCTACTAACATGACTCAGTCTACTTGTCAGTGACTTCATGGACTTGTGCCATGTTTTGGTCTGGCCGCCCCTAGCTTTCTTCCAACATACTCCTATACCACTGTACATCGCATGTCGAGGCAGTCGGTGGTTGTGCATACGTAACATGTGCCCCAGCCATCTCAAATGATAAATTTTCACTACTTCATCAACCGATTTGCCATCCTTACCTAGTACCCGTTTCCTAACAACTGCATTACTTACTCGATGGTCCCAGGATATATGAGCAATATTTCGAAGACACATATGATCAAATACTAGTAACCTACGAATATCCTCTACTCTTACCGGCCATGTTTCACTGCCATAAAGTAGGACGGAACGAACTGCTGCGCAGTAAACACGTCCTCAGATTGGTAGACGGATATCTCGCCTACGACATAAATGACGCAAGTTGGTAAAAGCTAGTCGAGCCTTCTGTATCCGTGCTGAGATTTCGTCACACACCAGACCACAAGGGCTGATGAGACTTCCAAGATAAGTGAAGCGGTCGACACGCTCAATTACTTCACTCCCTATCATTAGTTCAGGTGCCGATGCAACCCAACCCTGAAGCAACATTTTGCATTTCGAGGGAGAGAATCGCATCCTGAACATGCTTGCATTGTTGCTTAGAGTGGTCAGAAGACTGCATTTTGTCAGCGTCTTTGCCAAATAAAACTATGTCATCAACATATTCTAAGTCAACAAGTGAACCTCCCGGTAGAAGTTGGACTGAAAATTTAGATATGGAGTGTTATTTCTGATAGCACATCAACGACGAAGTTAAACAAGAATGGAGAATAGAGGTTAGCGTACCAGGTTAGCAGGAATACGTTTTACGTGAAACTCAGTGATGCTATCCAGCTGTGTTAGGTTTAAATCTGTGCCTCAACTGCTACAAGTCGAGTGGCTAAACCACTGGAAAGTAAACCAAAAACAGAAACCCAGTTTTTTATACTTGTCATCACGTTATCTACTAGAACAAGACACCTACTTGTAAAAAGAAGCCAATGTAAGGTACAGTGTTGCGATAACTGGACGTACTATTGAGGAGTTTACTGAAGTACAATACAAGTCAAATTATTCGAATACAGAGGTCCTTAAATAACATTTTGTGTGGAAAAACGTTCTGTTCAATACGGTCAGGATCAGATGATAAGAACAATAAGTAAACTGACAAGGTTTTTAACTTAAACCAGCTGAAATAACTAGGGAATGTAATCTATAATTATTAGGCAGTAGTAACTGTTCACATAAGAAAACTTACGATTAGCGACTTTAAGAATTAATGCCCCAGATTTATCACAGTAGTTAAAATCTGCCACTCCTTATAATCCTCCCCATCTTAACCTGTTTTATCTTCTATTTTAGGCCGTTGTTTTCACTTATTTACCATATAAATTTATATCTCAATCTTTTGGCATGTTGGTTGCGTGGTATAAAAACATTTTGGACGCAAAAAGTCTGCAACAGTTTGCGTTTCAATTTAAGTGACTGTAAGAGCTAATGAATTTCGTGTATGGTCCTATCCACGCAAAATAGGTATTAATTTAACTGCTTTACAAAATACAAGTTAACATTTTCGATTCTGAGATACATCTAGTGAGGATTATTGATACCAGTGGTGCCACGTGGACTATGACTAGAATATGGTATAATGATTGTAAACTGAGCGCTTTACCCGTTAAACCACCGCTCAAAATTTAGAGAAACGGTCTAACGATACAATAGCAAACTAAAAATATCTGTTTACGACTATTAGATCGATAAACATCCCGGTGTTAGAGCGGACATGACAGCTTTATGGTGGATTTCCATAATATGTTCAGATGTACATCGCAAACAAGTGAATAGTAACTTGAACATTCAGATGCTGATAATTCGTTATCTAGGACTAATGAAGACTTTACTAGTTCTGTATGAACATATCTGAAGGTCTGAACTCAAACAAATATTTTTAAAGGTATTTTTGTAGCGAGTAAACTATTAACACAGTAATAAAAAAGTAGTTATTAGTACAGACTACTTATAACACATTCTTGGCTTTTCACAAGTAGATCAGTCGAAGCAACATAAAAAACTATTGTTTATATGACCCGATTGTTTTCTCATTTTAAAATTAACAAGAATGGCTAGTAATTAAGGCATTTTAATCTTGACAGTTACGAAAAAGTAAGATCGACAAAACAACCTCTTAGTGATTATGTGGAAACATTGAGCAGGAATTTAAAATAACGTCACCTAAGAGTAAAACATGCTATGAAATGCCGTAATAAACCACCAAATAACTCGGAAGAATAATTTATTCCAAGTTAGTTCTGCTATGTCATATACAACAGCTTAAGCACCCGCTGCTTTTACTTTGTCTCAGAAGTTGAGTTTGCCTGTTGCAACATTGACCAATTTACATCAGTTGAAACAATTGTTCACTGTGACCTAACATATGTTTCAAATCTTTTAGATCGTACCCACTTTGAAAATGTTAAGTACCACAAGAATTGACATGGTTAAAAACTTAACACAGATAGACCGTCGTAATCCGGTTGCTTTATCCACTATATATATGTACATTATGTAGTCGGTCGACCAATAATGCAATCAATTTCAAGATAAATTGTAGATAACTATGATAAAATTAGGACTAGCAAATAGACGAGAAACTTAATACAGGCATCATGAAAGTTAATTAGGTTGTTCCAATGCCGTATTTGGCAAGGCTCACTTTCAGAGCCACAGACATGCGAATTCTAAAATCCTTATGCAGCTGAACCTGATTTGAAAACTAATATCTAATGCTAGCACACAGTAGTGATTTTAGTTAATGTGACTTCAACGATTTCGAAAGGTGACAATGGTAACGAATTAATATTATGGGCGCCAAAAGTACATACCTATCCCCTTTTTCGAAAATTTGGAGTTCAAAACCTTCTCACAACCGCACTCAAGATATTCCTTGTAGCGATTAAGGCACTGAACTAATAACCCAGCCTCCAGTTGTACCGAATTCTGCGAAACTAGAGAAATGGTGGACGTGTGTCTAGAAATGACAGTCGTCATCTGAATCTTCAGGTTGATCTAGTTTGATTTCTGTATTCTAACAGAAGTAAACCACAAAGCACCATAAGATGCATAGAACATGAAAACCAAACCATCCGCACTAAACATCAAGGTCAAATCCTCGGACGTCAGCCAAAATCAATATCATGCTGATGATACATAGCAAGCTACCATCACGTTTGCCTTCAAAAATGTGCTTAAACTGTAAAACTATCTAGCGTGGTAATTCGATTACCTAGCTACGTTTATTTAATTAGGCTTGTTGTGTAATCGTGATTGATCAGTACAATGGCGGATGAGTGATTTTCAGTTTCGGTTTGGAAGGGGCACGAGGCTAGGTGGTCTGTGTCCTCATGAATTCTCTGTCTTGGAAGACAAGAAAAATGAGGGCATGTCAGGTGCAAATTTATCACTAAGTAATATGAAATATGTAATCAAGTCACATCTACTTCTTCGACATGACAATGGGAATAAGTTTAGTTCAGCCATTCGAGCATCATACCGGAGCTTCGCTATTCCGAAAAGCAGCTTAGTTGTTGTTCTCTGAACCTTTTTCAAAAGTTCACTGTCCTTTTTAAGTAGATGGTAGCCGCTTGTATACAGTACTCAAGTTTAGAACGTTCAAACACTGTATACAAAGTCAAAAACGTTTTAGCGTCGACATGACTAAAAGCCGTATGTATTGACTATAAGGTTCTAAAACCTTTGGCGGCTATTGCACTGCAGTTTGCAGTAGTATTTAGGTCTTAGCTAACGATGACTTTCAAGTCATTATGTGTCTGGACGACAGGTAGCTCAGTGTTATTCATCGTGTATGCATCTGTACCTTGATGACCGATGATGATGACCGATGCATCACAACACACTTGAAAGTATTTATCGGCAACTGCCTAGTTTGAGACCATTCAGATAATTTCTTCAGGTCATTTTGAAGTTCCATCACCCTTACTTCGTATCGCTCTCCATATCTTGACATCGTCAGCATCTAGCAAGACCGATGGTGATAGGAGACGAGAAAGGTCATTTATATACAAGAGGAACAACACTGGCCCCAAAACTGTACACTGGGGCACCCCACTAAGCACAGTTCCCCAGTTAGACAACTTTGAGTTCACCCGAACTCTTTGTTGACGCCCAACTAAGAAGTATTTTATCCACATCAATAGATTGCCTTCAATTCCGACATTTATTAACTTATATAACAGTCAGTTGTAAGGAACTTTGTTAAATGCTTTGCTAAAGTCGATGTAGTCTATGTCTACAGGTAACTTTAGTTCCTTAAGAGGGCACCACCCCTCACGAGCCACTAATAAGTTAGTGAGGCAGGAATAACCTACTCTAAAGTCATGCTGCTCTAGTGAGGTGTCGAGTCGCGGTTGACTATGATCACCACTACAAGAAGACTACATGCCAGTTTACCGATAAGATCCGTCGTAAGCCAAATATCGGAAGGTATATGATGGCTGTGGTGAAGATGTATTTGTTGGCGATCTCGTGGAATCTCAAGGATACCGGGATCGTTCCAGGTTACAAGTGTGGTTACTGAGCGTAACCGAATTCGTGCAAGGTCACAAACAAGTACGGTAAAACAATCACTGGTACAATTGGTTAAAATAATAATTGTTTCCACTACATCAATCGCGTTCTCTTGATAAAAGTAGATCACTACAGGCGCCCCTCGCTAGACGGGGTTTACACTTTAGATCCGTGGCGGTTTCGTTCGTAGGACTGATCGGCAAACGTGCGATTGCAGGACGAGTGGGTTGGTGGGACAGGAAGCGATCGTTGATCCTCAAGTTGCCAACAAAAGTCTTTTACGCAGAACGGTACCAGGAGAAATTTGCTGAATTTGTTGCTCGAGTTAACGTACCACACCAGAGTGGTTTGTATGCAGGATCCGAAGACTGCGTCCGTAGGGGTCTGGACCAGAAAACGCTGCAGACGTAAGACGAAACCACGTTGGACCGAGGAAACAGAAACGACCATAACAACCAATCGCGAGACCAAACATATGCCAAACATATTCAAAACCAGAATATCGACTGAGTGCGTTGACAAGAGCGTGGGTGATCGGGTCAGATTTCTCCAGGATTGACTGAAGTCGATGGTCAGAGGCGTGGGCTCAAGATAGAAAAAATCAAAAAAAGAGAAAAAGGTGTAGCATGTATGTAGTATAAGGGTAGAGTTCTATAACTTATTCGTTGTTAATAGTGCGGTTAGTCGCGAGAGCGTACGTGTAGGAGTACTCGACGACCGGAACGTGAGGCAGAAGTCTCGTTCGTACTTCGTTAGCCAGCAATCTCATTCGTATTCAAGGGCGGCGTAGTCTGCTGATCTGGACGTGAGGCTGAAGTCCCATCCGTAGATGGTGCAGATGACGCGTGCTGTTAGCGGGGACGTGAGAATGAGGTCCCTGACGTATCTAGCGTGGGATCTGAAGTAGATGCAGGGATCCTGCTAGTAAGTTTGATGGGTATAACATTGGGTCTCAAGTTATCAAGTAGGACACTGTCATCGACGTGTGCTGATTTGAGACGATCAGTGCTAACGATCTCGACGCGGCCGTGTCGGTCAACCTTGAAGGTCCTTTCGTGACGAGAAATCACGTGAAAAGGTCTTTCGTGAGGCTGTTGCAGAGGTTTGCGTACCGAATCTACTGGTATGAAACACATGTGAACAGGTAGGTAACTCTCGAGGGAGAGCGACCTGTCGATGTTGTATTCGAGTTGACACCGGGGGCAGTGTTCGCATAAATCCAGACAGTCGATGGGCGTAGTCTGACTTACCAAAATCGTTACTGCTCTCTGGTGTGATAAATTCTCCAGGCAGACGCAATGTCGTGCCGTATACAAGTTCAGCTACGAAACATTGAATACCTACCTTCAATCTCGTTCTGATGCCTAAGAGGACGAGCGGTCAGGTTTCGCACCAGTTGTTGTTTTCATGTGCTCGAAGAGCACTTCTAAGTTGACGGTGAAACCTTCAATTAAACCATTTGATGTCGGGTGGTAGGCGGTAGTGCACATGCGTTCCGTACCAAGCAGCCGGGTCAGTGAGGAGAATAACGCGTACTCGAATTGTTGCCCTCGGTCAGTCGTGACATTCGAAGGACAACCATACAGCGCTATCCATCGTTCTACGAAGTGGTGAGCAACTGTCTCCGCCGTAATAGACGTGATGGGAATGGCTTCGGGCCATCTTGTAAAACTATCGATGCACGTGAGTATGTGATCATATCCATGCGATAGTGGCAATGATCTCACAATGTCTATATGAACGTGATCGAAGCAAGCATAAGGCGTAGCGAACGTGCTCATGGGGGTAGCTACGTGCCTGTGCACTTTTGGTCGTTGACATTGTAAACACTGCTCCAATCACATACGGGCATCTTTATTCATGGACGGCCAGACGTATCGTGCAGCGATGGGGTGTAATGAAGCTGTGATACCTGGATGAGACAGTCCATGCAGGGCATCGAAGACGAGACGACGGTAAGCAGAGGGTACGGTGGGTCAGGGAAGACCAGTAGAAGTATCACATAGGATAGTACCTGAGCTAGTAGCTAGGGCTACTTCCTGGCACTGAAGGGATGTAGATTGTGGTGCTTCTGTACGAAAAGGATCGTTTGCTTGGGTGGCAGCCATAGCAGGAAGATCAAATACCGTTGAAGTAACTGCATTTACTCGAATACGTGGCAGAGCATCGGCAACATAGTTTGACTCGCCTTTAATGTGACGAAGGTCTGTCGTGATCTGAGAGATAAAGTCCAAACGTCTACGTTCTTGTGATGAGTAGCGGTCAGACTTGGTATGCAGAGTATAAGCTACAGACTTGTGGTCGGTGAATAAGATGAAATGGCGACCTTCTGCTGCGTGTCGGAAATGTTTAATGCCACAGTAGGCTGCTAGAAGTTCTCGACTAAAAGCGCTATATCTCGTCTCCGTGAGAGTAAGGCGTCGTGAGGAAAATTCAAGAGGTTGCCAATTTCCGGAGATGTTCTGCTGCATAACGGCTCCTATGGCAAAATCCGATACATCAACCGCTATACCTAGTGTGACTGAGATCTGATGATATGCTCGTACCAGATCGATCTTAGAAAAGATAGTCGTGCCCTTGAGCGGCAACGTGATGTCGTGTATGTGGAGGATGGGGTAGCTATCAAAGCGTATGACTACGTTTAGTGCTCGGTAGTCGCCGCATGGTCTCCAACTAACCCCATCCGTTTTGTGCACTATGTGAAGAGGTGAAGCCCAGGGACTGTGAGAAAGACGAATAATACCAGTAGCTAGTAAACTGTCAAACTCACGTTTGGCGAAAGCTAACTTGTCCAGTGCCAGGCGGCGTGGCCTTGCCCGAACTGGGGGCCCGCGGGTGGCTGTATGGTGTACCACACGGTTGGTCACCGATGGAATCTCCTCGAGTGGTTTAGTTAATTTGGGGAATTTCTCGAACAAAGCGTTGAATATGTCACGCGAATAAAAGACGCCTAGGATTTGGTACGCGTTTTTTTAGAGCGTAGGCATATTTTTGCCGTTGGCTCGTAATGCGATGGGTCTCGAACTGAGACTCCAATGCAGCAAACCAAACTTCCGGGTCATGGGGGATAAAAGCTACAGGTCGAGAATGGATAACCTGTACGCCAGAGTCTATTATATTAACACCATTCTTATCGTTATCCGTCATTTCAGTTTGTTGCCAGAATATTAGACGTTGAAAAATATCAATATGAAAATGTGCAACAGACGTGGATAGATAACTAATAGAGTCCTCGCGATTGGCTTCTTTGGAAGATTTGGCTTCGATTGAAAAGTGTTCGTATTTTTGGGTTCAGCAATTGTAGTGTGGCGTCGAGTCACGGTTGACTATGATCACCACCACAAGAATGTTGCGTACTAAATATCAGAAGGCGATTAGAGGTTTTAGCGAGATACATTTGTTGGCGATCTCTTGGTATCAAAACAACAACGAGATCGTGCCAAAGGAGTACAAGCGGAACTACTGAGCAAACGTGTGTGCAAGGTCACAATCAACGGAAGAATGAGTGTGTTTTAGTACGGTCAAACAAACAAATACGGTAAAACAATCCCTAGTACAAATGGTTATTATAGTAATTGTTTC